ACATTTTTTCACAGTTTTAAGTCTAATTTTTAGATGTATGGAAATGGTAGTGCAAGGTAGAGGGGAAAAGGTCGACCGAAGAAGACATGGATGGAGTGTGTGTATGACGATATGAGAGAGAGAGGAGTGAGTGTTGAGATGACGGCTGATAGAAGAGAATGGAAGAGAAAAATTAGCTGTGCCGACCCCACCTAGTGGGATAAAGTGGAGAAAAAGCAGAGAATAAGTCTAATTTTTCAATTTTCCAAAATAGAAGAATGGTTTTGACAATTTATTAATAAGAAGAAATGACCTGGAGCTAATATCTCCATCTCAAGTATGTATCGATAATTCATTACGTAAGTGTAGTAAGGCTTACTCCATCAACATATTTTTACCGACGGTAGCGAAGAATTTACTAGTAGTTTATTAGTGTATTATTATCTTGTTGAAAAGGCACAATAACAAGCCCTAAAACGTAGAATTTCTTCCTTAATTGTGTCACTGTGAATACAAATTCTTGTATCAACATTGTGCAAACAAAAATACTAAAGGTAACTTTTAATAAATAAATAAAAATGAAAATGAAGGTCCACATCACTATGATATCGACCGCATAGTTCCATTTACATTCGCATAACTAGCGAACCATACTTACCCTGCAAGCGAGAAAAATTAAATCTACTCGAGTGTCCATATAATTTGAATATTGATTGATCTACCATACCTACTATGGATACATAAGACTGAAATTTGACTATAACTATATATACGCGTCTAAATCAATGACAGACTTAGGCTTGATGCCGCCCTAGGCCTGTTTATCGCACCTCCCTTGATGTTAGAATAAATTTTATTAATTTTGATCTAATATTTTAATTTTAATTTTAAAATAACTTGTTTTTATAATAAGTAGTATAAACTCATTTTCAAAGCAGACTGTCTTTACTTGACTTTGAAAGACTGAAATTTTGGCATTTCAAAAATTTTGCCGGCCCTCTAGTCATGCCGCCCTAAGCCCGAGCCTCACGGGCCTAGGCGTAAATCCATTACTGGTCTAAATCAATATTCAAGAACACTCGTGATCTCTCAATATATTGCATGCTTCACTTACACATATAATATTAGTAGGTATATTACTCTGCATCTTTTGCGTCTTACCCATCAAAGTATGCATAGATCATATACACTAATGTATAAATCTTAAAGTTAATATAAAGTTTTATTATTAAAAATATATATATATATATATTTCCAACAGAACAGTACTGCTAATTACAGGCACCCAGATAATGCAACCTTTTTTTATTTTGATTTTTTTTCGGGCCGAACCTTCTAATAGGTCCCCGCGCGCCCCCTAAGCGCTTGACGATCTACAACGTGTTAGGAGCAAATCGCGGGCCCAAGGAATTTTAGGGCCCTACCGCATTAAGCAACTCCACTGCATTCTTACACCCGACGTCCGATCTCCGTCCGGGGTCAGAACCCGGTCAGAGTGGGGGGGTTCCCGCGGTCAACACTAAAACCAGACACGCGGCGCCACCCCGAGGACGCCCGACCGACGGGTCGTCGAGGCGATAGTCGACGATCAACGACGCCGGTCTCCGCGGTACGGCACGGCGGCAGCCCTACCAGGTGGTGCCGCTGGTGTTCCGGGATACCCCGTTGGACCAGAACCAGCCTGCCGGGTCGGAACGCGATACACCGCCGACCGGGTTGTTCTTCCACAGTATGTTCGTCGACGACAGTGACGACGACAATGCGGACCGCATCGCAGTCCGTAGCCATCGACGCGTCGTCCTGTTCTCCTGGTACTAGCGTGCGGCGTAGCCTCAACCCTCTTAGGTCGCCCCGTGACCATCATCGGGAGCAGACTGCCTCCTCGTAGGGCAGTTAATGCAACCTAACCTAACTCAATGAATGTACAAATTTATTTTGAAGAAATGTAATATGATTGAACTAGAAATTATAATCACAGGTTCACGCCAAAGAAAACATTTTTTTTTTATATTTTTGTATTAGTTTTAAATAAACATATCCCTACATCGCTTTTAAAAGTTAAACTGAAGTCGTAATAAATTAACACACGGATCGAACTTGTGGCCTCGCGGCTTATAAAAACATGTAAGTATTTTTAGTTTGTGTATGAACTACGTTTTTGAAAAACATGTTTTGTTTGCTTTCAATTCGACGGAGCGAGGGGCTTTTTACTGATAGATGTTTGAAGTTAAATCTCCCTTAAACGCTTGAAATGTGATTCAGTGATCGCCTTTTTGAAAGGAGCTTAAGTGACGACTTTATTATGTCAGCAGTTCCTACTTTGGAAATTATTACTGAATGCCTCTCTCGATAATTTTACAAAATATATTTTTGGCCCCGCGTAAATTTCAACTTCACTGTTGAATCGAATGTTAATGTCTACGCTAGCCAAATGAAATTTGATGTCACAAAAAATAATTCTAGTCACAGCATGCATACAATACAAAATATTAAAGATGTTTAATTTATTTTTATACAAACATTTGAAACGCACCCAAGAAAATACTGCCACATGCTTTCTCAAAATAAAGTAATGTTTCTACAAAACGGGAACTTAGGTAAAAACATAAATGACGTTAGTAATTTTGTATTTTATTATTAGTAATAGCTAATCTTTCAATTACAGTTGATAATCTTTGATTTACACAAAAACCAAAAGAGCTTTGCCTCCATAAAATTACTATTTTGTCATAGTGTCTTAAAATAACAAAATGGGAGTGCTATTATCTAACTGCTAAATATTTTTTGCTTAATGCATACCTAAGTACGAGTATATAGATGAGCTAACTCTCGGCTCGTATGCTATTAAGCAATGACCGGAGTCTTCAGACATGACAACGTGAATATCGCCACCTATATTGAGTTATATCCTATCCGTATAAATATATATAATATATAAATTACAACTTTTTTCTATCTAATCATTGATAGCCTAAGGGGCTATTCCAACCGAACCGGTAGATGAGCTCACGGCCTCAACTAGAGATCGCTAACACTAGCCTTATCATGAGCAGTGCTTCGCTGAATCTGCTACCGGATCGGAATCGCGACCCCCTGAGAAGGTCGGGAGAGTAATTCTATCATTGTAAGCTTAAAAAACCGTATTGCTGTGTTAAGTTAAATTTTCAGTTTACATTTCACCAGCCAAAGCTGCTTTTGAATTTTTTTATGCTTTTGAATTATTATATTACTTTTTTTTTTACAATTTTTGTAAATCTGGGCAGTTATTAATACTATTTTAGCCGAAAGTGCGCAACTGTATAATAACGATTTCCGTCCTACTCGAATTGTANTTGTAAGCTTAAAAAACCGTATTGCTGTGTTAAGTTAAATTTTCAGTTTACATTTCACCAGCCAAAGCTGCTTTTGAATTTTTTTATGCTTTTGAATTATTATATTACTTTTTTTTTTACAATTTTTGTAAATCTGGGCAGTTATTAATACTATTTTAGCCGAAAGTGCGCAACTGTATAATAACGATTTCCGTCCTACTCGAATTGTATAAAATATTGAAAATAAGAACGGAATAGAAACCAAAAATCTGTTATCTACCTAAAGCGTACAAATAAAATAAAATTAAAAGCTAAAACAGAGGTGAGTGCTCAATACACGGTCCGGTAACACAGCTCGCGATTTAAGCCGCATCGAGTAACCGTAGCGTACGTATCGTACGTCGCGGGAACAACAGCGTATGCGCCGCCATGTGCGGACACAATGGCCGCATTCCCATGGAATCAGCCACGATAAGCTGATTGCGTGACGTCACAGTGCCCCGCGCCCCATGCAAGTCCGACATGCAACTAAATACATTTTCGCATCCCCTAAGTTAAGGATTAGTTTTTGTCGAAATTAATTTGCTTTCTATACTCGCTAAATTGATTAAAATTAAGGTATTGAATTTTTTTTACCTACAATTATAACAAAATGAGGTCTAGGCATAATTTTACAAATTAAATATCAATAATTACATTTTATAACAATTCACGTATAATTTTCGAAATCATTTAAACCTCTCACTATGTAGGTACTCATGTAAGTTAAGTCTGGCATACATCATACTTCTTCTTCTCTAAAAGACCAAGATAGTGATAAAATTGTGAATAATTCACAGTATAACCCTTCCATTTGGCTACTATCGAGAGGTGCCACTCCGACCCCAATCATAAAGGGTTGTATCGCGTAAGCGCTTCTCAGTTGCATAATCCTATGTGTTAAACAACTCTGCGCTACATCGATATCGTATAGTGAAATTTGATTCGTGACTTTTCAACAGAATTCACTGTTGTTCATTGCTGTTTTCGATAATTGTTGACCGCAAATTTTACGGTGATATTATCGATATGCGTAAAGTAAACGTAATTATTTCGTTGTGTAATTAAATTGTTTCACGTTGGCTAAAAAAATATTATCCTAAACATAGTTATATAGTACGAATTGGTTTTAAATTTTCGCAGCTTTAAACACTATAAAAACTTATTTAACGTGTCCTTACTACGATTTTTACATTCAATAAGTTCCCGATATTTCGGCCCTGTTGCAAGCGCCATAATCATCATTAAATTGAAGACTACGGGTATGATATTAGACGCAGATGCACCTGTCTACCCTTCTTTTCGGGCCGGGGCCGAGCATCCTACGAGGTATCTGCGCCTAGGGGACCGCCGAGGGGTATGTGGGATTTGACGGTCTGCAGATGTTGAGGGCAGACCGAGAACACAAGTTTGGGTCCTACCGCACCAAACGACTCCCCTTGTACTCTCACACCCGATGTCCGATCTCCACCCGGGGTCAGAACCCAGTCAGAGTAGGGAGGATCTCGCGGTCTACACCACAAACAGACTCAAAACCTGCCTACCCTAATTCGAGTGCGTTTTTGGGTGCTACCGCAGAAACTGTCGGTAGCGTAAGTGTACCTATATTGTTGGGCCGACTCATCTAGATCCAGAGGTGATTATAATATGGTTGTATTCTTTTCCCAACAGCAGTCCAACACGAGCGTGGCCCTCGTAAGCCTAAGTTGCACGCTGGAGCGTTGAGCTCGCTGCCACCTCCGTCGATGACGCACGCTCATAAGCCGCAGGTCCTCAAGCTGTCACCGCCCTCGCCGTATGCGCCACTGTCACTTCCACAGCCGCTCAACTTTCAAGTGAGTAGGAAATGTCTACTAAAATATCCTAGCATTAAAAAAAAACAAGAATCATAATAAATTATATAGGTACCTCTTTTTAATTAAGTATTAACTCCCAGGGAAGTCTGTTTTTACCAGTTTTACTGATGGTAGGATGTCTTATAAGTTTGCATGGATAGGTATTACCTACCACCCTACCTATTTCTGTCGTGAAGTAGTAATGCGTTTCAGTTTGAAGGGTGAGACAGCCGTTGTACCTACTGAATATTATTCCAGCCTTCTCTAGCTACTTATACTTCTGCTACTTCGTCATCCATCCGTTTATTAAAATCTTTTTTACCATATTTATCGACGATTATGTAGGTATTCGTATTTTGGGGTATTAATAGGAGGTTGTGTTTTGGCCTATGCGGATTGGTATGTACTATTGATTTAAATGCGACCTCCTTTTTCAGTATAGCTTTTCACTCTGGTGAATGGTACACCGCGATTTCATTTATCTAGTTATGCTTGCATTTTCTCCACGACTATTGGAATTATCATTAGAATAAAAAAAAAACGTTTTAAATATTTCAAATACAACGTAGTAACGAATCGATGTCAGTACCTAGTACATACAATATGTCTACAGTTCAGCTTAAGAGGTATGAACGAGCCGGCTCCGCTCAGCGCGGCCTCGTCAGCTGGGTCTAGCGCCGCTGGAACTGGCGCTTGTAGCCCGTTACCGCTCGTGCCGGACTCGTTCCTACCACCACCGCCTCCAGGACTACTACACATTTTAATGTCTACCGATAAATGTCATGTAAGTCGGCATGATCTCACTTATTTGTATCACAGCTGATGGCATTAACTAGAACAGGGCTGTCCAAACTAAGTAGGTACTATTGCGGGCTAATTAAATTTAGTACAAAAGCTGGAGGGCCGTAGAAAAATAATAATCTCAAAAACTAAATACTTTGCTATTTTACTACTTGATAAAACGTTACAAGAATAAAAATAAATTATACCAAATATCGATCTTTTTTTTATTGCTTAGGTGGGTGAATGAGCTCATAGCCCACCTGGTGTTAAGTGGTTACTGGAACCCATAGACATCTACAGCGTAAATGCCGCCACCCGCCTTGAGATATAAGTTCTAAAGTCTCAGTATAGCTACAACGGCTGCCTCACATTTCAAACCGAAACGCATTACTGCTTCATGGCAGAAATAGGTAGGGTGGTGGTATCTACCCGTGCGGACTCACAAGAGGTTTTACTACCGATTATTATGTATTTTGACAAAGAATCTATTATCCAAACTATTTATATCGAAAACCATTATCTGATTAATACATGCGTCGCAAGCCGTTGTCTGGACAACCCTGGTCAAGAAACATCATCCTGGCAATTCAACTAGAAAATGGTTTTAAATTAAAAGTACCTAGGAGCGTATTACGAATTGTACCTACCTACTGAAAAAAACAATTAATGCCGCTTGTCTGCCTTCATCTGGAAAAAAAAAACACTGAATTTGAAAACTGTCATTTTACTAGTGGCCAGTATTAAAATGACCGTTAGATACTTAGGCAGACCCTTGACTATCAATGTGAAAATGGATTCAATTCTCCCATAATTTGATAGATAGGTTAGTTGCATTAAACTTAAGGCACATCATATTATCTGAGGATCGATCCGCATGCTACAATTTTAGGTACTTTAAATACTAAGTTAAACAATAGATACTTAATATAAAAACTTAGTGACTAAACTTAGAGTATCAGCGCAAATAATTCAACAATACAGATAAAACTTTATTATTATCTAATCAACATACTTAGTAGGTACCTACCTAATTTGTGTTCTTGAACTCATTATCAAAAATAACATCGCATATTCTTCGATATAAAGGAACTGATGTGGAGTGCCAAGCAACTTCAGCTTCAAGGCGATCCGACGTTATTACGGCCCCCGCCCAGTGCATTTGGTGCTCCTTTAGCCCCAACATGGGAACTTCTGCAGGTAACCTCAACCTAAGCATTTCTATTCTGTAGTTAGGCACCGCGATTCTGTAGGTAGGTATATTTCTACTCACATAACAACCATGCGTCCTAGCTTAAGGATAGAAAAACCATTATACATACAGCGTTAGATATATAAAGCCGTTATAAATGGATTAAATTTCTCAAATTGTACGGCCGTTTTCACACTGATTTCCATAGATTCCGGGGACCAATTAATACCAAATAGCCGGTTGGACGAGGCATCAAGGGCAATAAAAATTTACGTTACCGAAAACAAAACCAGGTTCGAATAGAGACAAGATACTTTAGAAAACTGTAGGTAAATTATTCTCTTGTCGGGTTTGGAAGCCGTAAATCCTGGAAACGGGTATCTACCATCATATCTAGCTTCTGATTTGTCAAACTGTTAGAATTAAAACTCGTTGAAATCATATCAAGACAAACATTACGAATACCTACCTATCTAAATTATGTTCATTAATTATTTAATAATATGTATGTAGATAGCATGTATATTTCTCATAAGAGGGTACAATAAAGTGCGGTCAGACTTGGAAGAATACGAATAAGAACCGATTAAAAAGACAGGAAATCAAGAATTAGTAAAAAAGTTAATCAGCCCTAATTATTTTTTTCTAACCATCTAAATAACTTTAATACTTCATTAATACTAGGTAAACAAAACTAATAAAGGTATTATTATTATATTATTTGTTAGAGAATAGCTTTGTGAAAAGGTAAGGGGAAGTGCCATGTTCTGCAGTAGGTAGCTTTTTGACTCAAGGGGGCGGCCGCGAGTTTACGATTGGTCGACATTGGGGTGACTTATCGCCTTTACTTGACTTACCCCGCCCAACAGACGTAATGTAAAACGTAATTTAAAACAAGTCCATAAAGTCTACTTTTTAATGCAACTTTAATAAGCCAACGCTTGTTGATGAAACTGCCCACTTTTGTCTGCATTAGTACGAGACATGAAGACAAATCGTTTCACTAGATACTTCTTGACTGCAGTAGAGTTATCAATGAGGCCTAATAAAGAAGATCTCTTGAAAAAATTCAAATGATAATTGGAATATTATTATACAGTAGGCAGCGGCTTGGCTCGGTGGGCAGCGGCTTGGCTCTGCCCCTGGCATTGCTGAAGTCCATGGGCTATGGTAACCACTCATCATCAGGTGGGCCGTCTGCCTACAAGGGCAATAAAAAAAATACAGTATAGAACGAATTACACTTATGGAAAACTAAGCATAAATACGACTTACATATCGAATACGTTCCTACCTATAGAAAAAAATTTAGAGAGAAGTAACAGTTAGTATCTATAGTTAGTTATTATTGAAATGGGAAATGATAAATCATACATAACGAATTCAGGAAACAAGTGCTCGTCTCTTATTTATGGCGGTCCGGTGGGTGCGGTGCCTGGCGCCCTTCCAAGCGTTATCACCGTCAGATCAACTGGTTCTACTTCGAGCGGCATGGAAGGACTTGTTCTTGTTGCACTTGGCGCAGTGGTCGGCTCCTTGGGATCTCGCGCCGTTGTTATCGGCTTCGGCGGCCAGGGCTCGCCTGCCCCCTGATCCCCTCGCGGATTTGGAACTAAATACTTTACAAGTAAGCACTTACAAACGGTTGTTTTATAAATAAATAAATATAAAACTTTGGGTTTCAGACCATACTTTGCATAATTATGTTTATATTGTTATGTAGTAGCTATATTTTAATATTATTTACCAACTGTGATATTTCGTTCGTTCAAGTGCCACAGATAGGTATATACTTAGATAAATATAGTCATTTTATAGATTCGGACATTTCGAAAAGTTTTCATAGCCAAAGGAGACGTCTAGCAATAGCAATAACTTTGTGTTCTCAATGTTTCGTAAAATGTATTTATTATTCACATACTTAGGTAGTTATACCATAGCAAAACAGTCGCAATTTTATTTCTTGAAATTCAAAACCGATAAGTAGGTTGTAGACGTAAGTTATAACTACACATGTTTTAGTAAAATGCTTTTTTTGTAGGAGATTTTGTGCCGATTTCGTCAAATAGCACCTGATGGCAGCGAATGTGGGTGCATGAAAGCGATTGTACTATTTTCACCAGGTGTGTTAGGTATTTTATTTTTTTATTACATTAAAATTATTCTTGGAAACGTTTTATGATTCTGTAATTAATTCTGTACCTATTATTTTCTTTGTTATATGTAGTTGCACACCTACTATTATTATTTAGTCATATAGGTACATTTTTATGTAACTTAATACATAGGTACTTATTACCAACATGCAATAACTAAATAAAAAAATTCAACTTCACCGAAAGAAGTTGTTTTGTAGAAATACAAAAATCGTGACCAGAACCCGTTAAATAGTAGCATGTGTAATTCACCAGACGACTTAAATGTTGTCAATATTGTGTAGGTAACTATTCGGCGTCTAGGTCTGTCTATTCCTGTTTCGTAAATGCGTGTGTTTCCAACACGTTTCCGAAGGTAGCTCATAAGACATAAAAGAGTGACAAACGACTAATTTATTTCGATGTAATATTAACATCACAACTTTTAACAAGGTACTTATCTGATTTTACAGATACAGCCGGACTTAGTGAGACCCAACCAGTCGAAATGCTTCAAGATCAAGCACAATGTATTCTAGCAGATTATGTGCGCACTAGATATACCAGACAACCTACCAGGTAGGATGATAGGTACTTCATTGATGATAGACACATTCATTACCCAAAATTTGAATTTGTAAAGCCATTATTACCTAGTCTAATTATTTTCGATTGTTCTTTGGTAACATTTATGAAAATAATGCTTATTACATATTAGCATCTACAGGTAGGTATCTTCGTTACAATATACCTAATAATAAATATATTTGTATGCTACCATTAATAATTATCTAATAAATACCTATGTAGGTACATGTGTACATTTGTATTTTGTGAAGTTTTACAATTCTTAGTCAATCTTCATTTAAGAAAAAGCATTTTCAACTGAGGGCAGACGTGAGCCTACTTAATGTTAAAAAAATAACTTTATGGACTTTCACAATGCCAAGGGCATAGGGAAGACGCTACCCACGCTCATTGACTAGGTATAAAATACAAAAGCTCCCTTCAAATACAGCATTATTCCTACCTATTACTTTTTTGACTGAAATACTTCTTTGGTACTTATGTGAATTGAAAGTCGATGATATAAAGAAATAGATAAACATGTATATAGGTCACAGGTACAACAACCCTATAGATTTAGCCTGCAAGCGAATGTGATACTTAGAACACTGATGGAAGGTGTAGTAATCACTTTTTCATTTTAAAAGGTTCGGTCGCCTCCTGCTGCTGTTACCGTCGCTCCGCGCTGTGCGAGCGCGTTCCATCGAGCTCCTACTGTTCCGAGACACAGTCGGCGACGTGTCCGTTACCACACTGCTACACGACATGTACCGAATGCAACCGGCACCAGCGCCCCCGTTCCACGCTCCTCATCCCCACACGACAACTGAACATTGTTCATCGCCGTAATTAAATATTCATAGGCATGTCGATAAGATTATTATATTCAACACACAATCATAGTAATAACATTTGTTAATAATCTGTGCGCTGAGGTATGGTTCGAGATGATACCGTCATTTCGTTTTTACCATCGTACCGCCTGCCACCGGAGTAGAGTTCATCCATACTACCATCCACTGCGGTCATCCACAGTGCGTTTCCAGAAGCCTTTTTTGCCACATACCATCCGGCTATGGAATGAGCTCCCCTCCACGGTGTTTCCCGAGCGCTATGACATGTCCTTCTTCAAACGAGGCTTGTGGAGAGTATTAAGCGGTAGGCAGCGGCTTGGCTCTGCCACTGGCATTGCCGAAGTCCATGGGCGACGGTAACCACTCACCATCAGGTGGCCGTGTGCTCGTCTGCCCATAAGGGCAACAAAAAAAATCGAACTCCGCGACGTTATACCATCTAGGTATTCCTGTTCTTTTTTTTTTATTGCTTAGATGGGTGGACAAGCTCACTGCCCACCTGGTGTTAAGTGGTTACTGGAGCCCATAGACATCCATAACGTAAATGCGCCATCCACCTTGAGACATAAGTTCTAAGGTCTCAGTATAGTTACAACGGCTGCCCCACCCTTCAAACCGAAACGCATTACTGCTTTACGGCAGAAATAGACAGGGCGGTGGTACCCAACCGCGCGGACTCACAAGAGGTCCTACCGCCAGTAATAAGTATTGAGTGTACATGCAGGTCGAAGGTTCGATACTGGCGCGAACCAAGATTATCTTGTAATTGTAATGTGGTCACAGTTAGCAGCCTGTTAGCAATGAACTCTAAATATTTAATGGCAGAGGCGGCGCTTACTTTCAAGCTACAAACATCCTCACCTTTTATAAGTTAAAAATAGAATTTGTCACAAATTGTTAATTAATTTGTAGATATCTCGTTTATACACTGTCTGCAATAACAGTATAATTTCTAATAAAGATAAATAATAGGTAGATATCGGAATAATCAAAAACTTATGTCATAAAAATTAGAAACTCTTCAAAAATTTATTCTAGTCATTCCTCTAAATTATGGAAATTCGTGCTTTATATGAATGAAATATTTAATACTGTTAAGAGAATTGTAAAGTTAAAAATTTTCGTGAAATCAATTTATTTCTAGTCACAATAATATTATAATGTTCTATTTTAGTGTTAATATAAGGTTATAATTATTAAACAAAAAACAAAAAAAAAAACATTGAACTCTTTCTTTTCTTTCTATGAAGACTCCTGGCTGTTTTGTTTAAAATAAAAATCTTATAAGTAAAAATATGTTTATTCACATTGACTTAAATAATAATATGTTAATATATCTAAAGCATTCATTAGCAAGATGTCACAAAATTACATTTCGAGAGAAAAACCAATACTAGGCAATGTTAACCTTATTCAACGTAATCGTTTCCACTGAACTGAGGTCGACTGAATCGTCTTCCATCGTATTGACCTGGACAGTTGACTTTTCTTCTACCTTTTTTGGTTCAGTCCTGGGAAAATCAAGCTTGGACCATGAGCCAGGTTCGCCCTTTTTCAATTTTATCTCCACTTTAGTACCCAACATAGAAGCAGAACTTCTTTCGATATTGATAACCTGGAAAACGTTTTTTTGTTATGCTGATATTAATGTATGTATTTTGTGTAATATATTAATATGGATCATTACTAGCACTATTTATTTTTTAGGCATTTTAATTTGAAAAGTGCAATGTCAAATTAGTGACAAGTGAATTGTTATTAACATTTTGTTTACATACCCCTCTTAGTTCAAGATCCAATTCAAAGGCTGCATCTCCTTGCTCTCTAAATATCAATTTTATGTTTAGCCGTATAGGGTTTACCTTCACATAGCTCAAGACTGGGTCATATTTCTTAGCATAAACACTAACAATCACGTGTTCTGGTGTCTGATGCCAATCCCAACGACACTGCACTGTACCAGCATTTGAACTCTACAATTAAAAAAAAAAAACTAATATTTATTAATTTTTCAATTCCCTTTCTAGATGAACTTGCGGACAAGCTCATGTCCGACTCAGTGTTAAGCAGTGTTTTTTAAAAAATGAGTACAAGTCTGTTGAAGTAACATTCATTCTACTGTTTAAACTGGAATACATAATTAATTATTAATAAGCAGGATAACAGAAAGACTTAAGACTTCTGCTTCTAATGAGTACAACTATTAAATATCTGTATAGGTGAAATTGTCTAATAGTTTATCCACCTAGTCTCTTTATTTTGAAATTATACTTAACTCTAATTTGAAAAAAAATTTGTTTTTTATTCCTACCTATTTGCTGGATTCCTACATATGATTTGGTAGTGGAGCTCACGGGTTTAATCTGAGAGAATTTGCTAACACTAGCCCTAGCAAGAGCAGTGCTTCACAAATTCTACTACCAGATCAGAATTGTAACACAATGAGAAGAACCAGCAAGAAACTCAGTGGGTTGTATGTATAAAACATAACGTTAAGTTTAAGCCCCAGTAGCCTAGCATCAGCTGGGCCAAAAGTTTGTTTGTTTAAATAGAACAATAAAAAATATAAGTAGTTGAGACTTTGACATAATCTCAGAAAGTGATCATATCTATATTGGAGCATTTAATTTTATGAACATAATAATCACTTCAATGGTTCATGATATTTTGGTTATCAAGGCACAGACAACAAACTTTTTATTTATTTATTTATACATCAATTACCTCTTTAACCCATTTATGAGCTCCAGTAGTACAGCCTGGTTGATTTAAAAAGGNTATAGTTGAGACTTTGACATAATCTCAGAAAGTGATCATATCTATATTGGAGCATTTAATTTTATGAACATAATAATCACTTCAATGGTTCATGATATTTTGGTTATCAAGGCACAGACAACAAACTTTTTATTTATTTATTTATACATCAATTACCTCTTTAACCCATTTATGAGCTCCAGTAGTACAGCCTGGTTGATTTAAAAAGGTATTGAAATCTGTGGTTCTTTTTTGGCAGCAAGACCAAAATTTTAGACCTTCATGAAAAATAGGGCACCCAGGGTGATATGTGCACAAAGACTCATTTGTTTGAGGACCTTCAAATGCTGTGTTACAACCACCATTTTTACAACTTGTTCCAATAGCTACATTTCTGTAAAATTACAAGAATGATTTTGAAAAATTTTGATAAATTGTAAATAGCAAAATAATATACAAGGGCTTAATCTTACAATTTAACATTAACATAACAAAAACTCAGTTTTGTGGTTATCAAACATCATCACAGTATTAGTGTTTTGTACAAACAAATAATTTAGTTGATGGTATTATTATTTATTTTGGGTTCAACTTTATTTAAAGTACTAAGAATACTAATATTTGTTTTGGTTTAAAACATCAAGTTTTCAGTTTTGCTTATTTAATTATGTTGAATTTGAATACTATTTATTATAATACGAATGAAGAAGAAACCCGGAATGTACTTAAGTGACAATACAATTGTTGCAACATTAACACAATGTTCAAATCCTGTTGACAGGTACCTGTTTTCCTATCAAAACATACCTGTTCACAAATGTAATCATGTAATAAAATTAAAACCTGCAAAAACTATGATTTGCATTATTATTAATATAGTAAGTATTTGCATAAGTAAGGATAATGCCTCTTTCTGCTGCAAGTCAAGCATTCCGGTTCAAAGGGTGGGAACGTAATTAAAAAAAAAATGCATTCATTAGGATGGTTAAACATACCCATCTTCAGAGACTGGAGTTTTTTGCTCTGTATTTGGCTGAGATTGTTTCAATGATTCAGCTATGTGTGTTTCTAAGAGCACCAGAGGTGTTTCAAAGGGTGGTCTTTGTAACTGTGGACCAGCAACTGGAGCTCTTACTTCAATGATATCCTTTTTTTCCAATTCCTTGTCAAGCCCCTTTTTAACAGGTTCAACAGGTTTCTGCAAATTTAATCATAATATTTGAATAATTTTTCATACAATTGGATTAATTTTGTTTATGGATGTATTTTCTTTTCAATGTAAGAAAACTATATAGCAACACTGGATCTGAGCTTTTCATTGTGATTGTTTTAACTTACCACATTGCTATGTTTGGATAAGGTACACCCTTTTATGTTCAAAAACTCCGTGAAATCAACACTTTTCTTATTACAACATGACCAGCCCTTGTAAGCATCGTGGAATACTGGATGTCCTGGATGGTGGCGACATTCATCTGTAAATTTATAAATTTGTTATAAAGTTACTGACATATATTTTTGAGATTTTTTTCAACATTGTTTAAAGTAGTGTATACTTTTCAATATTAAATACGTTTTAGGGTTAGGGAAAAGTCTAGAATACCTTTTTCATTGTCATTTGGGTCAAAAGCTTGGCCACAACCGCGATTATAACATTGCACTAGGTGTTTATCTTCAGGCATATTCGTTATTCAATAGATATTTTACGAACGTAGAAAAAATTACCCCTTTTGCAAATACTCAAATACGGGGTAATACACTGTTCATACAATATGATCGGTCTTAAATTAGAAAATAAATATGTATCATGTATGTACGTATGTTCAAATAAGTTCTGTTTTTAATTCCGGGATAAAATGACATGCCAAATGCCATGTGTTGCTAGCTTAACGGCTTTCTAACTAAATTATTTTAAAGAAGCAACAAACGGAGCTAATCAAAAAAAATATTTTAAATAATAATCGCGCCTGTACCTAGTTTCCGTAATTTGATTAATTAAAATTAAAATAAGATGTTAAAATGTAAGTAATAGAGTTTTAAAAATTTCGTTATATTTGTTTAAGTTTTATTAACTTTTACTGCCTTACCTATAGTGAGCAGTTCAAAAACTATTAAGGAAAATTCTTAGTTGTATTTTTTTTATTTTCTCACCATTTGAGAAAAAAATTGAGAAAGATGTTGTACGTCACTAGATTAATTAATGATCGGTTATGTATGACCCCAATTTAATAAACTTTTTTTAATGTTTAGTTATGAATATGAAGACTTCGTAGAGAATATGAAGACTGCCTACTTATTTTAGATAAGGAAAAACAGAAAGGCTTTTATTAAACTTTATGCAAATAGTAATATAAAGTAATTTGTATAACTTATTTAGCTTAATTAGAAACAATTTAGTTTCCTTAAATTAATACCTACAGTTTTCTCGAATCCCCGAATTTCATAAGTAGTCCCGAATTTCATAAGTAAAAGAACATCTCATCAAGAACCCTCAAAGTATGTAATTTAAGAAATTTAACAATTTTACGTCAAAGCTAAAATGTGATCTTTTATGATTATTGAAATGATGTACCGGTAAAATGGGGCGATTAGGGATTGAGAGGCGAATCGGGAAAAAACCGGGAAAATCTTTCGACGCTCAATATAAGTTTTATATTCGTTGCAAAATCTTCCATTTTTTGTAGTTTAATAGTAGAATGTTGAAAGTTCACAAAACAACTCTGAATATGCATGATAATAGCTGCTAACTTATAAAAAATCGCGTTTCAAATTAACTTCCTGTGGTGGTAATTGTTTTAGTGCTAGAAACTTTGCTCTCTTTTATTTATTTGATAATAATAGAAGACGACTATGATTTATAAACGTTATTTAGTGTTTGAACCAGCATATATATTAAAGGTAANGAGTTTAGTTATTTAGCTTAGAAAGAATTTCTTTTATTTTTGTTATTATTGGCAGTAATCAGATAAAGCTGTTTTTTTATCTTATTCACCTGATATCTTACTCTTGCTCAAAGATTATTTTGAAAATGTTGATTAAATAAAATTGTATTATTGCATTTCCAGTCCTTTTGTTTTCTATTTTTTATTCTATTTTATCATTTTGTTTCAGAGTTGTGATTTTTAAGGAAATTAAATAATAATTTTCTAAAATATAACATGCACATACTTTTTTTGATCATTGTATTGTTGATTATCATTCACGTCACATCGCTTCGGAATAGAAACCAGCTTAATTTACACTATGTTGTGTATTGTGCTTAAATTATGGATTGTATTCATCATTTCGGTCCATATAAATAATTATATGGCACCTACCTATATATCGCAGTACTGCGAGTTGACAACCCTTACAAATATCCCAATTTAACCCTTAACCGTGTCAATTTACCCCGGACGCTGGGTAAATTGGGACGGCCATTATTTTACCGATTATTTCTTTAAAATGAATAATTAAAATTATGTAACGGTTTTTATCACCTAGGTACGTTCAAGACTCAACTTATTTCTTTGGTTGAGCAGTGACTATTTAATTGGAACTATTTTAAAATTCAATCTGAAGGTCGATTTTGTCCCTATTTACCCCATTGTACGGTACCAATTATTCCTTACTTCAGTGGTTTTATGTAGATTCACAGATAGAAAAGCTGTCATGTCTGTCAATGTCTCTTTACTTTCAAAATTTGTATAGTCTGTACCTACATTTCCTAGTGTTCATGTGGGCGTACAAAATTTTGATGAAAATCAATTCTTAAGAAAAGCTAGGAAATTGTAAAAACTGTACATTTTCATCTCAGTTAATTAAGGCGTTTTTAGAGATTCTCGAATTATTTTATAATTTCATTTTTAAAGCATACTTATAAAAATAAAATAAAATAATAAAACAATGATTTGTGAAATAGTTTCAATACGTTTTACTGGCATAATAATTACTCTCAATACATAGGTAGTTGTTTAAAATGGAAATCGGTACACTTTTTATAAGCGTTCTTCTTATAATGGTGTGATTGTATTATTTGTGAAGTAATTAAAATGAATTTGATGCGCAAATTGCGTGGGGCATCTTCCTCGGCGTCGTCCGAATCTGCCGAGGGCTCAGGTTCCTCATCTCACGTCCAACTTGGACTGATGCACCTGAAGAAGCTATTTGCAGAGTACACACATCCTCAACAACCACTAACAGACGCTGAAAAAGATGATAAACTTTACAATATGCTGCCTCTATTTTGTAAGGTAACTATTAAATGTAAAATAAGTTCATTGTTTGGTATTTCTTCAGTAAAAGTATTACTTTCAAAATTATCCATTAATACTATTTGCCTTAGCTATCCTAAAAAAACCTTCTTAATTAAAATTACTGTAGAAACAGCTTTGTTCCCAATTTATTTCATTAATAAAACACATAAATTTTTTAGGAAATATGAAGCTATTCCCACACATTTGAAATAATTCAAAGAAAGAACTATGTATTTAATTATAACAGATTGATTATTATGATAACTTTAGTTTGAATTATGATTATGAAATAAATATTGTGTTTTATTAAATTAAACTCTTGAATGTTTGTGATTTTGTAGGTGTTTGGCACCAGTCCATCAAGTGAAATGAATGAAAAATTCTGGGATATATTGTCGTTTTGCCAACAAGTTTCTAAGCTAATGGTGTCAGAAATTAGAAAGAGGGCCAGTAACCAAAGTACCGAGGCTGCTAGTTGTGCAATTGCAAAGTTTTTAGAGATTGAAAACTCGGAAGAGTCAAGTAATGGCTGGATGTTGTTATCAACACTAAATCTATTGGCAGCTGGAGATCAGTCTCTGATACAGGTAAAAATTACTATCTCTCCTGTAAAATATAATATGTGTGCCATTATGACAAATTACTAGGATTACAACAAAAATATCAATATAAAAAACTTTCACAGCCTTAGTCCAGTTCTTAGTTTTTCATACCTAAGGAAATTCATACCAGTAGTAATTGAATCACCATTGGGAGCCTGGGCATACTTGTTCTTGTCTTTATTATTTTATTGTATGTATGGTTGAACAAGCTTGCCCTTTGGCGTAAACTGACTTTCTGAGCCGATGGACATCATAACATGATGCCACCATCCACATTGAGATATAATATCAAAGGCAATAAAAAAAAGTCAATTGTATCATTTCATATCTGTATGTACCCTTAAACAAGAAACTCTTTCAGGTAGTTGAATTTGATTTTTTTTAAATTCATGACTATAAAGCAAATAACTTTGTAATAATCATTTTGTAAGCAAAGCATTTTGTAATAGCTTATATTATAAATAATAAATTTCAAATGTTTGAAAGTATAAGCTTCAGCATNACTGCCGGCGCAGCAGCCCGGCGTCACCTGCGATAACGCATTTCGTGTGACATGCGCAATCAGGCGCATAACGCATTTCGTGTGACATGCTAGTACGATTTTGGTCCCCATAATTTTCATACCCCGGGCCTATATATGTAAATCGATTCTAAAGGAGTAAACTCCAAAAAAAGTCAATTGTATCATTTCATATCTGTATGTACCCTTAAACAAGAAACTCTTTCAGGTAGTTGAATTTGATTTTTTTTAAATTCATGACTATAAAGCAAATAACTTTGTAATAATCATTTTGTAAGCAAAGCATTTTGTAATAGCTTATATTATAAATAATAAATTTCAAATGTTTGAAAGTATAAGCTTCAGCATGTAGTTCAAGGCAAAAATAAATCTATAAAAAGTGTTTTTTTGTTATTTAAAGGTCATGACCACTGCAGCTATACCATCAACACTAGTAAAATGTTTGTATCTGTTTTTTGATCTTCCTGAGATACCTGAATCAGAGGCTGATGTTCAGGATACTAATAGTGAATTTACACCCAGAGAGAGGAGGATCTTGTTGCAAAAAATATTTGTTCAGGTAAGCACATATTATCTTGAAATGCTGTTTGAAACAAAAAAAGACTATTAAAATAATAATTTAAAAAGAACAAAATATTGTCGTGATGTAAATAAAATGAGAAAATTAATATTTATATATGCACTCTTGAATATTAACATTAACATTTAGCAAATTTGAATTAAATAAACATTATTGTTTTATTAATTGGGTATCACTCACTTCCTGCTTGGTTATGTAAAATCATTTCAGATGTTGATTGATTGGTTAATGATATTATGTAACATTTTAGGTACTTGTAAGATTATGCAGCCATCCTTTCCCATGTGAAGAATTAGCGAGAAAGGATGATCTCACCCTCTTATTCTCCGCTATAACATCATGGTGTGCCCCTCATAATATAATGTGGAGAAAGTCAGCAGCTGAAGTGTTAATGACGCTTTCTCGACATGGTCTAACACAATCTGTTGTTCAGTACATTCATAGTAAGTAATAATAAGGTATAGGCATGGGTATAGGTTTAAATTGTAATTTAAAAGTATTTTATATTGTATTGCAATATTACAGATAAAGGTTGTGTTGCATTATGCATTGAAAATATGCAAAGGATACCAGAACTGACACCTCTAGAGGTATGTTGTAGGTTTTCAAGTTAACAACAAGGATCTTTTTTGTAATTGATTGAATTAATTTACATTTTCCAGGTTGTTGAAATGTTTGTGGCTGTATTTTGTTTCCTGAAAGACTCTAGTGAAGTTAGTCAATTACTGTTAGATGATTTTAGATCATGTCAAGGATATTTATTTCTCTCAGAATTCCTTTTAAAGTAAGTAAACAAAGTTTTACTGCCATACCATTCATGTAGAACATTGTCATTACGATACTTTGTGAAATTCAAGGCATGGTGTGTTTGTTTGGTTTTTGTTGGTTTATTTTTTGTTTNTTTCCTGAAAGACTCTAGTGAAGTTAGTCAATTACTGTTAGATGATTTTAGATCATGTCAAGGATATTTATTTCTCTCAGAATTCCTTTTAAAGTAAGTAAACAAAGTTTTACTGCCATACCATTCATGTAGAACATTGTCATTACGATACTTTGTGAAATTCAAGGCATGGTGTGTTTGTTTGGTTTTTGTTGGTTTATTTTTTGTTTTATTTTTATTTTATCACAGACATGAAACTCAAGATGTACCCGATTATTTAACTTCAGGGTAAGCACTACTCTTACTATGATTATACAGTTAATGTTCAAATCATTCATCAACAGAATTTGAATACATTTCAATAGAGTAAAATGTTTAAAACTTTACAGAAGTTTTTTCTGAAGTAAATAAATTTACTTTGACAGCCTTATTGCTTTAACTTCTTATTGTTTTCATATTCCTTGTTTTCTTGGTTCTGAAAATAAAAATGAACTGGGTCATATTATATAAATAACCCCATTATCTAGTTTTTATGTTGCTCAAATTTATTTATTTATGGCTTATGGTAAATATTTATATTTATGAGATAGTTTAGATTTTTTTTAATCATCAATAGAGCTATTGTAAAACCAATATGTTGTAAATAAATGTTAGACAGAGCGCCCAATACAAGATCAATATTTATTTGAAACTAACAGGCTGGAAGAGGAACGCGTCAGCGGTTCAGAAGCTCGTGCTGCTTTACGAAATCTAGTATTGATGATATCGTCGCTATGCGCCTGCGGATTTTCAGAACTTCGACCGACCCGAGCAAATACTGAACTATTCCAATTACAAGGATTCGTTTTACCGCAGCCCTCTACACCCGGGCAGGCTGTAAGAAATGTGCAGGCTTTTCAGGTAAATATAAATCGTTCCCATCAGGCGTCACGTCAATAGGCAAGTTGGCTTGGCAGGTTAAAAAAGGTTAACTAATATATGAGTGATTTAATGTGTTACGATGAGACGTTTCACGTTTTGATTTTATGCTAGACAAAGAGTACAGTTTGGGAACCGAATTATGCGATCTGTAGAATTTAATAGTTTTTTTGCGAGTTTAATTGAATCTTCTTTTTGTTGTAATTTTTCTATTCCATTCTCTTCAGCCGTCATCTTAACACTCACTCCTATCTCTCTCTCATATCGTCATTCACACACTCCATCCATGCCTTCTTCGGTCGACCTCTTTCCCCTCTACCTTGCACTACCATTTCCATACATCTCCTAGTCACATGCATCTTCTCTCTATGCATCACATGTCCATACCACTCTAACCGTCCGCTCTTTAATTTCTTAAATACTGGGGACTTCAGTTTTCTAACATCACACCACCCCAGCCATTTGTTCCTTACTACTTAGAACCTAGGTTCTTGCTCGGAAAATATTTCAAATAAGGAATATTTTTCGCGTTACGAGACACTGGAAGAAATTTTATCCGCTGTGTTTGTTCTGACGCGATCTTCAAATCTCCACAACATAAACCTTTCCAAAATACATTTACCTAAAGCAAATACATTTAATATTTTATTGATTGTTTTTTTTTGTGTCTTTTCCAGGTTTTGCAATCAGTTTTCATGAAGTCTAACTCTCCTGCATTGTGTTGCACTATATTGGATGCTATATCAAGTGTTTATCATGCTGACAATGCTAATTATTTTATATTGGAAAATCAAAACACCCTTAGCCAGTTTTCGGAAAGAATTTACACAAAAAATGCAGAAATCCAAGAGAAATTTTTCGAATTGTTAGAATTCATAGTGTTTCAACTAAACTTTGTTCCCTGTAAAGAACTTATATCACTCTCACTTTTGTTGAAAGCCAATAGATCAAGAAGTTGCAGTATTTTGTGTATAAAGACTCTTCTTAACATTTTAAAGTAAGTCAATTACCAACTAATTAATAATCACAGATTTTGAGATTTCTAAATTTTTGATAAAATTTTATATGGATAAAATCATACTAGTAATAATTGAAAATAATTAATATTAAAATTTGAAAACCTTACAGACATAATACAATCTTCAAAGATGTTTATCGTGAGGTGGGAATGTTAGAAGTATTTGTAACCTGTCTATCGCGATATGTAGCATATTTAAAAGATAAACAACTTGAAGAAGAAAATAAAAAGAGAGATTCTGAAGCAATACAACAAGATAATGAACTGAGTGAATCTCCTAAAGCTCCTGAAAGAAAGAAAAAATCCACCAGAACGGACTCATTGATTCGAGATCCTAATATAGACAGTGAAGAGGAAGACTTAGGTTCATTATTAATGGAAGGCTTGACTGCATTATTGAATGCTAATTCTAGTAATTGTAACGTTTTTAGGGATTGTGGAGGTGCAAAATGTGTGCATGGTATGGTTGTCTATGAATCTTGTCGTAGTAAAGCCTTAGGTAAGTTTAAATTAAAGGCTATAAACATTACCCATTCAGTGAGTGTTCCATTTAATCGTAAGAGGAACGATTTATTTTATAGCAAATTTACTGAATTTGAAATAATTTCTCAAAAGAATATTTTTCGTTGATTTAAATTATGTATATAATTTTTTATGATGATATTCTCGGATTACAACTTCATTTTTACTATGTTTAGGTGTCATTAGAGAATTAATAGTGAGTGGGTCCGGTGAGGAAGATATGTCTACGTTGCTTTGTGGCATGCATGCTGCACCTTCGGATGCTTTACATCTCAAACTCCACATCTTGAAGGCTTTGCTAGCTTGTCTAAGAGATTCTCATCGCACTAGGACTATATTTAGAAAGGTAACGTAAAAACTTATGAAGGTTGAATACTCAATGAAAGATACTCTTTACTGAGAAGATAACAACAAACCCATATGATTAACGCAAACAAAATTCAAATCTGCTTATAATAAAGGAAGTTATTAGTGGCTTAACTTTCCAGCGGTTCTGGGAATATACCGTCCCGTAGTCGCGAGGAGTGATGCGCTCTGCAATAAATGCTTCCATAGAGTTAGTTCTCTGTCTTCTTGTCCCAAAAAAGTAATAACCTGCACGCTAGACAGAGCATGGATTATTTTGTATAAACTGACATACCAACAGTCGCATTAACTACAGGAAATTAATAGGTTTATGATGTGATCCACCCTATCACAGAACTCGAAAAGTTTTTAAGAACTTCATTTATCTACTACAATTCTATCATTACAAAATATATGACATATTCGATCAATTATTTTACGAAGTCTCTTTACCTTCATATTTATTTACCACAATTTTAATGTGCAGGTCAGTGGCTTTGTTTATGTCACAAGTGTCCTGGTGTCGCTCGAAGGCAAGTTAAAAGGAAACGAGATCATGGATCAAGATATGCTTCAATTGATTCATATAGTATTTTACACCATTTCTACTGCCATGAGATTCGAACCAGCCAATGCGAAATTTTTTCATCACGAGGTAAGAATATAAAAAATTTCGATTGACTTAATCCAGTCTAATTAAACGATAGTGTTTAAAAATTTATATTTAAAAAAAAACTTCCTAATTACAGATTTGTATGACTACACTTAGCGAGACCATACGTATGTTAGGCTGTTTTACTGAAGACGTAGAGTTACAATATGATACTGAACCTGGAGATCCGGACCTGTATGAAGTATTTCATGAATTGTTCACCGGAAATATATTAGAAATGACGTGAGTAGCCTACATAAGCACTGCATAAGGGAATGTAAACAGAAGTTCTCGAAAATGAAGACTATAATTATATAAACTTTGGTATAACCTGCAGTGCTGTTTATTCTTGACTTTAATAATGCTATGGACTTGAACAATTGCGACTGAAAATTATATTTTACTGCACGCATGTGCGTTACATTACATTACAGAGGATTAAAAACCAGCTTAGCAATAGATTGCAGGCTCACGTTCGTGAGCTTAGTTCAAATTACTATGAGCTTGCGTTGCGCTTGCTCGATTTCGTATGAAATTAATAATATTTTTAGTACAATTTGAAAATACCATTCAGACTTCGGGAGAATATCCATTACACGTAGTAAAAAATAAATTTGTGATGATTTGATAAAATACCCAATTATTCCTTGAACACCCATTTTTATAGATTTCCCGCATCTGTGCCTGCAGTATTTTCGAATGCGTGCGTTGTTTTACGGTTACTTTATGATGTAGCGTTGGATTCATTCGACAAACCGACTTTCTGTGGATCTCTCAATGTTAAATCACCCAGTTTAACGCGACAGAGCTCTGCAATCAACGAAGTGAGTACATCTAGTCAATATAAAATGCTATAAACTCTGATGTTGTGTGATATAGTGACATGAAATATTGTTTGTACTGTTGGTTTGTGTATCTTATATATAATACAGGTAATAAATACATAAAATATATAATACATATCCATAAAGACCAAAACCAAACTGGTACGGACTCTAGTCTTCTCGATTTTTTCGTATGGCGCTGAGACCTGGTCACTGAAATCTGCAGACCGCAGAGGCATTGACGCCTTTGAGATGTGGTGCTGGAGAAATATGCTGCGTATTCCGTGGACAGCATTTCGGACCAACGTATCAATCTTGCAAGAACTCAAAATCTCCTCGCGACTGTCATCCGAGTGTCTTCGCAGAGTCCTTGAATACTTCGGTCACATTGCACGGAAGGATGGTAGCAATCTCGAGAGGCTCATCGTGACTGGTAAGGTAGATGGGAAAAGACCTCGAGGGCGCAGCCCAATACGTTGGTCCGACCAGATCCGCACCGCTTTTGATTCCACGTTTCACAACGCCCTCCACACCGCCAGAGACAAGAATGGATGGAGAAAGATCGTGCGTGCGAAGGTGATACAAAAGGGTGGTCACGACCCTCAGCAATGAGGAATACGACGCAAGGTGGACCGTGTTAACAAAAAAAAACCATTAAAATATTTTATCTACTGCCCACTTTGAGAGTAAATTCTCAAAGCTCGGTCGATGTTTAAGAGTCCTCCTAGATGAAATTATGAATCGCTTCCTCAGCCTCTACACAGCGCCCCCTTTTTTCTGGGTCTCTAACCGCCCCCCTTTAGGCCTGCAGCGCCTCCACAAGGGGGCGTTATCGCCCACTTTGGGAAAGACTGCTCTAGACCTGCATCAATAAGTATCGCCTTGTTCATTTGAATAAAAATCTTATATTTTTAGAATAAACCAGCAGGCCGCACGGCGCCCCTAAACCTTTCCACGGGTTCAAATAATGGGGAAGCGTGGATCATACATTCCGGTGTTGTAATAGTATTGGCCAAGCTTCTTCCCGCATTGCCGCGTCCCGCAGAACATGAAACTCATGCAAGGGCTATGAGGGACTATCTCGCGCATGTACTCAAAAGTCTCGTTAGGAGGTACGTTTAACATTGTTTCGGTTTATTAAGTTAAGTTTTGAAAATATTAGTATAAATAAATAAAATGAATAATATATTTAAACCGTTATATGGCCGTTGACGGGCCTATCTGATATTAACAGATTAGAATTCATTTCAGTTGCATTTAAATTTATCATGTACTTATATAAAAATAAACAAAAAAAAATATTGCTTAGATAGGTGGACGAGCGCATGGCCCACCTTGTGTTGAGTGGTTACCGGAGCCCATTGACATTTACAACGTAAATGCCGGCACCCACATTGAGACATGAGTTCTAAGGTCTCACTTTTAACAGTACAACGGCTGCCCCGCCCTTCAAACCGAAACGTATTACTGCTTCACGGCAGAAAAAGGCACGGTGGTGGTACCCACTCGCGCGGACTCACAAGAGGTCTTACCACCAGTAATTACGCAAATTATAATTTTGCGGGTTTGGTTTTTATTTCATGATGTTATTTCTTCACCGTGGAAATCAATCTTGAACATACGTTAAGTACGTATTTCATTAGAAATATTGGTACCCGGCTGCGGGATTCGAACACCCGTGCATCGCTAGATACGAATGCACCGGACGTCTTATCCTTTAGGCTACGACGACTTCTAAGATATACTAATGAGTTTTTCTGTTATTAACACAGCGAGCGCAACCAGCAAGTGATGTGCGTGGCCGGGCTGGCGGGCACGGTGCTGCGGGTGTGCGGCGCCGCGCTGCGCTGCGAGCGACACGCGCTGCACTCGCCCGCCATGTACATGCTCGAACGACTCGCCGCGCATTCCTTACGACCTATTGAACTCAGGTATACGCTCTTAATGTTATTGTTTTGTGTAGCTGTCGGTGCCGTGAAGCAGTAATGCGTTTCGGTTTGAGGGGTGGGGCAGCCGTTGTAACTGTACTTGAGACCTTACAACTTGTGTCTTGGGGTGGGTGGCGCATTTACGTTGTCTATGGGCTCCAGTAACCACTTGACATCGGGTGGGCTGTGAGCTCGCTCACTCACCTAAGCAATAAAAAAAAAAGCAAGAGTAATTGTGGAAATTTGTAAATATTTACAGAATTCGTTGGTATTTTTTATTTAAAAAATAACTAATCGTGGGACTCGTTCGTCGTCATGACTGATGTCTATTAATTTCGATAAATGGACGCTCCAAAAATTCCAATATATCTGTGTATACAAGTCGTGGTAGAAGTGAAACATTCAAAAAATTTGGCTTCAAGATAATGAGACGAATGTAAAATTTTTGAGAAGAGGATAATTGTAGGTTTTAGTAATTATCATACTGATACAAAGTTTGATAATTAGTTTTACATTTTATTCGTAAATATTGCATAGGTGTATTCAGAATGTATTAAATACGAGTATTAGGTATAAAGCAGAGCACAAAGAGAACCACGAATATAAGAAACACTGTATAATACCTACTATCTCATTTTCTTTCACGTTAAATCTTATGAATTTATGTGTTTGTTTATTTTTACTGTCGCTTTTTTGTTTCATCGACTTTCAAATCACAACGATGCTAAAGAATTTTTCACTTAAAAAAAAAGAGGTTAATTAATAACATGCCGCCGCAATGAATTTAACTAAATAAATCTTTTATTTTCAGAGAATTTTTAAGAATGGGTAATCCACTAAACTGTGTAGCTCCCGAGCAGGGACAAGTTTGCAAACCAGGTGGACCTGTTCCATTGACGAGAATAAAAACATTGGTTTCCATGACAACACCGAGGGATTACCGGTAAGTTTGAAAAAGGAATTAAACTATAGTTAAACACTTTTTTTAAAAGGATTATGACCTGGTAACTAAGACCTTTAAGTCATGTCTTATTTTAATGTATATTCTTATTTTTATGAAAAAATGATACACACACAATATGGAGTGAAATGAAATGAAATGAAGATGATTAGTGTGAGATATTAATCAACTGGGATGAAATTAAATGAAATGAGATGAGATCATATGGGATGAAATATAAAATCAGTAAAATAGTGGTCATTTACTGAGATTTTTTCAGTGGACTTTTTGGAGGATCCCGAGAAGCTACGTCCAGTGGCTTTGTTTCATTTCCCACATTTGTGCACTTTCACAGATATTAAACAGTTATTAAACCACCGTTATTACACATTTAAACCTGAAGAAACACTAAATAGACAAAATAAAACAAATCACACAACTTCACTCCTCGCGTTCCCGCCAAAAAGTCTGTAGCTAAACACAGAAAATATGGTCTTTAAATAAATTATTCATTCATTGCCAGGTCTCAAAATTCATGTACGCTGCCACCTTTCGTGGAGTTTGATATGTCGGCTGAGGGTTTCGGTTGTTTGTACATGCCCAGTATCGCGCCTCAGTCTGCTAATTTGAACGCTATCGGAACACAAGACACGGCCACGCTGGGTGGTATAGGTTCAGGTACGTATTCAAAATATAAGATTACGAAAATTCATAGGAAATTAGATAACGAGGTGTCAATTTTTTCGATCTCGTATCTTAAGTTGCTAATAAATTAAAGCATCTTAATTTTAAGATTGTATAAAAAAATTGGAATATTTACAAAGAACTTAATAAAACCGAATATAAGTACTTTAAAATCTAAAAAAACACACTTAAATAGCAAAGCTTATTAACTTCATCTCTTTTTTTTATCTTATAGGTTATTAAGAGCGAATTTTAAAATGATTGCATCATCATCGGTCTTGATGTCTGTGAAAACGACGTTCGAAGATTCTATAAATACAAACAAACATACACACCAAGCTTATAATAAATAATTAATGAATTATTAATTTATTCAATTATTACTTTTATTTTTGCAGGCGACAGAGTATTTCCCCCGCAAACGGGTTTGAGTTACTCAACGTGGATATGTGTCGAGAAATACTCCGACCCCCGCTCCGATCCGCACTGCGTTCGTTTGCTGACTTTAGTACGGAACATCAACAACACGCGCGACGAACACCTCGTGTGCCTCACCGTTGTATTGTCGGCCAGGGATAAGGCCATCATTGTATCCACGCAAGAAACCTTAGTACCGCACAGTAAGTCATGTCAATATTGTTGTTGTCCTTGTCTCTACCTGTAGAGATCAGATTGTCGATTTTTTTTAAAAGATTTTATGACCTGGTAACTAAGACCTTTAGGTTATGTCTTATTTTAATTTATATTCTTATTTTTATGAATCATGATAATATGGAGTGAAATGAAATGAAATGAAGATGATTAATTTGAGACATTAATCAACTGGGATGAAATTAAATGAAATGAGATGAGATGAGATTAGAGGATATGGGATGAAATATAATCTTCGTAAAATGGTCGCAGATTGTCGATATTGGTCGGCTTACAACCGACCGCATATTTGACGCCACTCACATTTTAGATAATTAGTGGGAGGGTCGAGTTAAAATTAAGGTAGAGGTAACTTTTGGAGAAGAGGTAGCAGTCGATACATGCGTTCACCTGTACTGGACCCATTCGGAAAACTTTTGACGACGGTTACGACTATCGTTCATCCTAGAAATTTAATATCATTCAACGGCCTATATATTATTAGAGAAGCTAGCTGAAATGTTAACGGACCGGCCCCAAATAGAAAATGTGATCAATTTGAGCAGATGTGTTCTAATTTCGATATTTGAGACAGATTACATGAGACGACTTGTGTAAATAAATCGTTGTAAGAAGTTCATATTGAGATAGGCAGTTGAGAGACATGACGTTGAGATTTGAAGTGGTCGTGGCCTAAAGGATAAGACGTCCGTTGCGTTCGTATATTGCGATGCACCGATGTCCGAATCCCTCTGGCAAGAACCGATTTTTGTAATGAAATACGTACTTAACAAATGTTCACGATTGACTTTCACGGTGAAGGAATAACATTTATTTTTTCTCCTTCCTACGCCGAAAGTTCGGTTTTCCTCCCGCTGTACAGGGAAGAAAGTCTAACTTTTCCTCCCTGGGTATAAATGCACATGTGCGTTAGTGTCTACGTCTGCTCTCACGCACCTAAAATTCTCCGCCATTGTTGTGCTCGGGTAATTTACAATATTGTGTTTAGTGTAAAAGTGAAATAAACAAAAGGCAATAAAATTTAATAGTGAAGTATTAAACAAAGATGAGTTCATCAGACAGTTCTTATTCAATTAGTAGTAGTTTATTTAAAAATTAAAAAACAATTAAATTGTTTTTTCATGAGTACTCCGCCTCCCCTACCCCCGGCCAGGGCTTCGCCCCTGAACCCCGGCTCGGTACTCCACGAACTTTCGGCCTGGTAGGAGAAAAAACAGTATACAATGTACTATTATTTTATCTAGATGATATTTATTTTAATTGATTTATTTGATGATTTATTTTAGATGTAGGAGAATGGGAGCCAGAGGGTTCGGGTGAGTGCGGCGCCCGCGTGTGGTGCCCCGACCTGCAACACGAAGGACAGTGGCATCACCTCGCGCTCGTGCTTAATCGTGCTGTCCTCAAGAATTCCTCGTTTTCCCTTTACTTGGATGGTTAGTTTTGTTTTTCTCTGATTAATTATTATTATTAAATTCATTTATTTCAGATAAAATATTAATCCCTATGTTAGTAACAGTGACTTCTTAAAAAATATGTTATTAAGGACATAGTAACATAACAAAACAAAAGAACAACATACATACATACATTCAATTACAATTAAAACAGTTTACAATTACGAGTACATTTTGTGAACCTCTCTATAATGATTGAGAAATTTAGTTGTGTTCTAATTCTTTTTCGGCAAGACAATTGAAACATCATGTATACATTGAATATCGAATTTAACTATTATGTAGGCTTATTAGGTATTCATTCGTTACTATCAATCAGCCGGATATGACGTAACATTCTAGGATTATTAAATTTCGGCAAAAGGTTAGATAACGATGATTTCAACTTAAATTTGAGTTTTTCATAACTATGTGACGGTTTTAAGGACAATGTTTATTTAAAAAAAATGCTCTAAAATTTTTAGTGAAAATAGGTGTCGAAGCATCATCAAAAAGGATTCTATCTAAGAGTGTTTTGTGTTTATAGAATATACGTCCCTTTTTTTTAAATCTGTCTTTGAAAAATATTACAAAGCAGTCGTCTAATTGTCGGCAGCGGCTTGACTCTGCCCCTGGCATTGCTGACGTCCATGAGCGACGGTGCGACCACTTACCGTCAGGTGGGCCGTATGCACGTCTGCCTACAAAGGCCATAAAAAAATTGGTATTACAGGTCAGCATATGCACTCCGGCAAGCTGCACTACGTGAGCGCGAACCCCGGGGGCGGTGCCGCCACGCTGTCGGGCGCGTCCAGCGTGTACTGCGTGCTCGGGACGCCCCCGCAGTGGCGGCGCTACTCGCGGCTGCTGTGGCGACAGGGCCCGGCGCTGCTGCTCGAAGACGTACGTATCATTATTACAGTGAATGGATATTTGAGCTCACCTCTCCCTGGCGTTACACAGTAACAAGACCTATTGAGGTTATAATCTAACCCTTTGAAATACAAAGTCGAGGCCAAAAATTAATTGTTGTCTTCGTCTCCGTTGACTAACCTATCTCACTATGACCTCATCACTCACAGCTAGATCTGCCATAGTTAATATTGTTTTGATTTGTATCTAATATCATTTAAAGTCTCTTGTTGAATTGCTGTAAAAACTGGATAATTGACAGTTATTGTTAAATAGACAGTCTGTTTATTTTTTTACTATAACTCAGTGGTGTTAAAAGGCCGGGCATTTTTTATTTATTGCATAGTTGGGTGGAGAGTTCACAGCCCACCTGGTGTTAAGTGGTTACCGGAGCCCATAGACATCTACAACGTACTACACTTTCATCTCTCCAGATTTTACTTTTTTAAATACATTAAAATTCTTCATATAGATGTCAAGATAATATGCCTGTACATTTTGTATTGACACATACATAAATTTCTAGGTACTCACAGCACAGACAGTGTCGGTTATATATCAACTGGGTCCGCACTACGTGGGCACGCTGCAAGCTCCACTGCCACCGGGACAAAACCAAGAACCTCTGACCCCTCTAGTCGCAGAAGAAAAAGTTATTTTCGGAATCAATGCACGAGCGATGTCTCAATTGACCCTCGCGAAGATAAGGAAAGTGTACAGTAAAAACGACAACAAGGCTATCGCAAAGCAACTGGGCATGTCGTCGCACGAAAACGCAACCCCGATACGGATACTACACAACTCCGCGGGACACCTGATGGGACCCGCCAGGTGCTTGGGCGGCACCGTCGTGGGCTATTTAGGAGTTAGAGTATTCTGTTCGAAGCCAGCCGCGATTATGGTAATTATACATCTGACTAAACAAGCATAATGTATTGTTAAATAATATCGAGAGGCAAATGGCTATTTAATGGGTTAAGCGACATTTTTGTAACTTCACAGGAGAGACATTAAAATTTTTTTAAATTTTGGGAAAAATATCACAACAAAAACACTACTTCAGCTATTTGAAAGGAGTAAATTTAATTGAAGTTTAATTAAAAACATTGAATTATTCATACTAATACCAATACTTGTAATTACAATAATAAATGTCGCGTAATACCTACATAAGTGAAATGTTGCTTAAACCAAATAGCCTTTCAAGCCTCATTGCATTCTATGGGTCCATCTTAATTTTTGGTGTTAAACAACTTCAAAAAGTGTAGGTTGATAGTTTCGACTGTATCCATTTATGTGTATTATCTTAAAACTTCTTTAGGTTAACCAATTTTGTTGTATCTTTTTTTTGGAAACTGTTACTTATGTGGTTCCGCTTCACATTTATCAAGATCTGATCGTTAGTTTTTGAGTTGTCCTAAATAATTCATATTTAATTGACTTGGACTGCATTGATAATATTTTAATTTTACTTTTAAAGAAGTTGGTTTTCTTTTTTGATAAAATTTTATTTAATTTTTTTTTCATAGATTGACACGGTGGGCGGTTGTTCAGTGCTGTTGGGCTTGATCGCGATGGCACAAGACGTGGAATGTTTGTACGCCGGCGTTAAAGCGCTAGTGTGCGTCGTTCGATCGAACAAATCGGCTCAAGCCGAAATGGACCGGCGGAAGGGATACCAAACCTTAGCTATGTTATTGAAGAGGAAAAAGCAGCTATTGAATTCTCATATACTCCACCTTGTATTTGGACTGGTCGGAACTGTGGACAGCCAGAAGGAAACATCGTCTATTCCTAATTTGACAGCTTTTCAAGTAAATGTTCTGTTAAAATCCAAATATGAGTTAATATAAATAAAAAAAAACGTGTGGCACTCGGGAACTGCCGCGGTAAAGCTATTGCATAGCATTTTTTATCAACTTATGCAATTATAATTAGGCAATGATAATTTAATATTAAAACAATAATAAAACAAGACCACGCTATATTAAACATTAATAAAAGCAAAACCTTAACTGTCCCCTTCACACTCATAAGCTAGACCGCGCGAGAGAGAGATGGGCAGACTTTTCATGATGCGCATGCAGTCTGACGTCACGCCACGCGCTTATTCACAAACACTACACAAGCGCAACGTGTGAATGTGTTGAACGCAAACTACATGACAGGTGGAGTGGGGGTTGTTAGGTTTTTTCGTTACGGAATTTCATGATTCGGTCGCCGCGCTCAAGGCCCGCGATAAAAGCTATGCAATAGCTTAAAAATAATTTAAATTAATTTTGTATGTATAATGTTTTAGGATCTCATCTGCGAGCTAGAGGTGTGGCTCGGCGCCCCCGGTGGCCTGATTAAATCGTTACTGGAACATTTATTAGAACTGGCCACTGAAACGGCTCACAGAACGCACAATTTACGCACAATGAGAGAGCTCCAATTAGTTTCCAAACTTTTATACATAATTAATGACGTAAAAGTCGTCAGCACAAAGAACGTTCTAATACAATTGTTAGCTGCTTTATTAGGGGGGCAGCCCAGACCGAGCGATCTGTTATGCTTGGGACAATTCATGGCATACACTCTACCGCTACCTTCGCAAACTGAAAAGGGATTGAATCCAGTAGAAAGCGACTGCGAGAAAGACTCAGAGGGAGAACAAATTATTTTACGTAACAAATGCTTCAACGTTCTGCACGGCTTATTATTCACGGCGAGGAATCTAGTGAACACGATAGTTTGCGAGGAAATATCACGAGTCTTGGGCATGGATTGGTTGTTGAGTTTTATGCAGGAGAACGTTCACCCAACAACGGTGCTTTGGGCCCTCAGAATTTTAGTAATACTTTGTTCGGGACAAGGACACCAATCTGCAATTATGCAAAGGTAAACAAACGTATTTTTGTCGCTAGCATTTTTTTTTATTGCTTATATTGTTGGACGAGCTCACAGCCCACCTGGTGTTAAGTGGTTACTGGAGCCCATAGACATCTACGACGTTAATGCGCCACTCACCTTGAGATACAAGTTCTAAGATCTCAAGTATAGTTACAACGGCTGCCCCACCCTTCAAACCGAAACGCATTACAGCTTCACGGCAGAAATAGGCAGAGCGGTGGTACCTACCCGCGCGGACTCACAAGAGGTCCTACCACCAGTAAATCCATCATTCTTGTCACGAAGTAATGTTTGAATGTATTAACTCACAAGATTTTGACTATTAGGTTCCGCGAAGGAGTGGGTAATGGTGGCTGGTTGCGTCACACAGAGATGATAGCGAGCTCGCAGCAAGCAGGCGTGGTGCTCACGGCCGCCGTCCACTCGCAGTCTCATCTACACGCGTCCTTGCTCCACACCTCGGGATTCACTTTACTCGCATGGTGAGCATGACCAAGGTAAACGGGGATCTGTCGCACCAACACTAGCCGGCAGCATCTATGTCAATTTAGAAATATATTTTTTGAAATCGGTTTGGCCTTATCGCGATATATTCTTCATAGACGTGCGGCCTCAAACGAAGCCAACGTACTGCTTTTATGCAGGACGAAATTGGTTTTAAATAGCTTAGAAATAAATAGATTTAATATACTTCAATCCATCGAAACTTATCGAAACGAAACAGCCGTCTTCTACCAGCGCAAACAGACAGCAGAAATTTTTTACATGATTCGGAAACAGCCATACAGACTGGGTCGTGTACAGTTTTATTGTTAACGGTACTGAATAAAAGAAATTTTTAGTACCAAATGTCACATCGAGCTATTTAAATACACTATTGAAAACTTTAAATGTCCAGATGTTAAATGTCTGTCCGTTTAAAACACACCTTGAGATATAAGTTCTAAGGTCTCAGTATAGTTACAACGGCTGCCCCACCTTTCAAACCGAAACGCATTACTGCTTCATGGCAGAAATAGGCGGGGTGGTGGTACCTACCCGTGCAGACTCACAAGAGGTCCTACCGCCAGTGTCACATCGAGCTATTTAAATTCGCTATTGAAAACTTTAAAAGCCTCGATGTTAATTGTTTTGAATTTTAGTGTAGCCGCGCTATAAAGCAGACGCAGTTGCCAGAGCTACTGATTCACGGATCCATAAAATAGAGAGATACTCATTATTATTGAATGTCGCACGGGCAGGTTGATCCTGTCGCACCTGCACATACCGGAGCTGTACTACCTGCTGTTCGGGCTGACGCTGGGGCAGCCGATGCGCGCGGCGTGCTCGGAGCGCGCGGTGTCGGTGGAGCGCGTGTGGGCGGCGGCGTGGGGCGCGGTGGCGCCCGCCCGGCAGTCGTCGGCCGCGCTGGCCGCCCGCATCACGCTGTGCCCCGAGGCCATCGTCATCCTGCTGGGGGCGGTGCGCGCGCTCGTGCACGCCGACCAGCCCGCCCTGCCCGACTGGCTCGTCGACCATCCAGTGCCCATCCTGCAGGTACTTACTAAATTAATATTGCTCATCCTAATGATTCTAATAAAGGATTCTATCTATCTATCTATCTTCTATCTATAGTATAAAAATGAATTGCTGTTCGTTAGTCTCGCTAAAACTCGAGAACGGCTGGACCGATTTGGCTAATTTTGGTCTTAAGTTATTTGTGGAAGTCCAGAGAAGGTTTAAAAGGTAGATAAATATGAAAATGCTCGGAATTAAATAAAAATAACACGTTTGTTTTTCCTTTGATGTGTCCCCCGTCGGACGGAATCCTTTTGTTTATTTTATACAAAAGTTTAGGTCTTTTATTTATCGATTAAGGCACTACGTAGTCTGCCGGGTCATCTACTTTGTTATATTTTTATGTTGTGTTTAAGTATCTACATTATTATATTTGTACATGAATATACGAGTATATGATAGTGATTATATATAGATATATTATGTGTAAATTTTATATTATTATCATGATATAATATTGTGTACGTTGTTGTATGTGATGATATAAATATGTATACCGTGTATGTGTGTTGTATATGTATGTAATATTAAAATTATCAATTTTGTTATTTTCGCAATAAGTAATGCACCTACCACAGGACTCTACACCACCCGTTGGTTGACTGGTAAAGAATGCCTTAGGCATTAAGTCCACCATTGTACCTTTGTGCATGAAGCTGAATAAATAAATAAATAAAAGAGGATAGCAATAAAAAGAGTCAAAAGTAGGAGGCATTAAATTTTTTGAAGGAAATTAATAAATACATTTTATTTTTTAGGTGTTGTTTTCCCTCTATAACACATTGCCAGATTTCGTGCCCATAATGATGTCAGCTGAGGTCCTAACTGCATTGGCTTCAACGTTGTTCCCTCTTAACTCATCCGATGACATTCATATGCGTAAGTAAATTCTCGAAGTCGAAGCGAAAGGTCACGAATATCCATGATTCCAGTTTTCGAATCTAACATTGTGTATTTCAATTGGTTCTGACGCAAATAATTCTAGACAAACTTTTTGAAACTATTCTAATACGTAAAAAATACTTAAAAAAACAAACACGAATCCGCAAAACTACTTAATCTATGTTTAGTAATTATACGGTATTCTAAAAAGAAAAAAATTCTGGGCGATAGGGTGGTGGCACACCAGTGTCACTGTTCTGTCTATGTATGGACTACGTATGTACTGCCTTTGTACCGCGAAGCAGTCTAGCGCTCCTGGTGTGCTCACACGAGTGTTCTGCCATTGTTCTTCCTATTTGTACCGCGAAGCAGTCGAGCGCTCCAGAGTGGGTGATATAGTTGTTAAAAAAAGTACTTCAATCTTATATCTCCAATTTGAGGGCCGTATACACGTCGTGTTCGTTTAGTTCTCGTAAAATTACGTTCCAAACTTTGTAGTTTACTGTTTTTTACATAACAAGCAATGTAACACAAAAAGGAATCGACCCGCAGTAAATATGCGAGTGGTGAAACCCACTGCTTCGTATTATATTGCGCGTTTATTAAATAAGAACCAACTAAAATAACTAGGTATTGAATAATTTAGTAAAATAATAATATTTTCCGTTTACGGTACACTTTATTTATTTATTTTTTATTGCTTAGTTGGGTGGACAAGCTCACAGCCCACCTGGTGTTAAGTGGTTTCCGGAGTTCATAGACCCCCTAAGACGTAAATGCCACCAACCAGCTCGAGACATGAGTTCTTAGAACTCGATTTTGACAGTACAACGGCTGAGCTCCAGTCATAGACAAAATAAGTGGCGTAAATACGCCATTCACCTTGAGATATAAATTCTAAGGTCTCAGTATAGTTACAACGGCAAAACCGAAACCAAATAACACCAGGTGAACCTTGAGCTCGTCCACTTTCATATAAGTAATAAAAAAATATTTGATGAATAGGAACGTGTATTTGTTTCCCGATTAGCGATATGCGAGAGCGGGGAAAGTTCGGGCGCATCGACCCCCGGCTCGGAGAAGGAGGTGGTGATAGCGGGCGCGTCGGCCGCGCTCACACAGCACGCGGTGCGACAGAGCGTCATGGACTTCCTGCGGGTCATAGTATTGGACTCTCTGTCGCTCAACGTCACGGGGAAGACGGCGCCGGTGAGCTATTATTCCTAACGCACCCATACCCATTTTTTTGTTTGTTTTATCCATCAAGTTTTAATATCACAGTTTTGTTTTGAACAATTTTTTATTCAATTTTTTTTCGAGTCAAATTTAAATTTCTGATTACGTAACAATTGATTTTTTTTTTAGACTAATCTGTTCTCGTATTAATCGTTGACGCATGTTGTAAATTTAGTTTCATAATAACATATCAATAATAATAATAATAATATACGCAACATTGTCCGACAACATTTTCGACTAACAAACTGACAAACAGCCTACCGGTTGGTTTTAGAACGCGGAAAGCGCTGACACAGTGCCCTCTTCAATGTTTTGTACGCCATGTAGCTCCGGCCCGGCGAGATCTTACTTTCATAGCGTAAATATGGGCAATTTTATTATGAAACTAACAAAACTTAACAGTATTAATTAACTGATTAATTATAAAGCTTATTATAAAACTTACCAAACTTAACCATATTAATTGATTGATTGATTCTAAAGCTTATTACGTATCAACTAACACAGAACTAAAGCTTTGTTAACAACATATTATAATGATTTTTTTAAACTAAAATCGTTTTATCTACTGCTCTCAAACTTAAGAAATAGGTCATAGAATGTAATGGGCTTTAAGGGATATTTAAAATGTTGACAATTATTTATTAGATTTTAGGAGCTCGTTCGTTTCCTTTCTTTTCATTTCTACTCACACTGTAAATATGCAAAATGACTTTGATTATAGATCTTTAATGCTTTAGAATACTATTAGATTATTTAAAAAAATGTACAAGTTAAAAAAGTTTTTAGGACATTTGAAAACCAGCATCAGAATTAAGTTTTTCATCAATTCAATATGTCCACATTTCGTTCTTGAAATAAATAATTTTAATTTTTTATTTATTAATGCAGCCTAATATAGTCTTTCACTAGTAGATGGATATATTACACTTAACCTCTTTCTTTGTAAGTTAAGCCATATAATTAATTTTTATTATCCTTTCTTTTATAAAGCACATTATCAGTTTATTTACAAAATGATAATCCGTAATAAGAATAAATTTATTTAGTCAATACTAATTTATTATCGTAAACAATTACATCTATCACTAATATTACATAAGACGACCTACGCATTTGATAACACGAGTTTCATAACAGCATCCGCATATTGTGTATTTTATGATAAATGTATTGTCGTCAGGACGTCCGAATTACAACAACGTCCTGTTTGTTTATTTCTATTTTTTCTTTTGTTGTTTTTTATTCTTCGGGCAAAATGGCTATTAAGCTTTATTGAAAATAACATAAATTTAACTGTAAAACATTCTTCATTACTAATATTAAAATAAAAAAAATGTAAAAATGTTGTGTTAATAACATTAAATTTTGAATATTAATAACAGAATAGTAAATTTATTAAATGTGCACTAAGGTTATAAAAAGTAAAGAATATGGTCGTCAAAGCTCTATAATTCGAATCACCTTTCAGGTTATTGACCTTGTCTTAGATGCATCTCCACCGAATTCTACAAGCCAGCAACAAATTGAATACCAGACTGAAGTATTGACTACTCTGATGGAAAATTTGTTGAATACCGAACTGTTTAGTTCAGAATCTAACATATCGAATGTTTGCTATTTGGCCGCCCGGCTCGTCGATAAGTTATGGCAGGGACAACTGTCGAGGGACCCTCACGAGGTAATTGAAAACGAACAAAAAAAATTGTTTTTATTTTTATTATTGCTTTGATGGGTGGACGAGCTCACAGCCCACCTGATGTTAAGTGGTTACTGGAGCACATAGACATCTACAACGTAAATGCGCCACCCACCTTGAGACATAAGTTCTAAGGTCTCAAGTATAGTTACAACGGCTGCCCCACCCTTCAAGCCGAAAGGCATTACTGCTTCACGGCAGAAATAAGCAGGGTAGTGGTACCTACCCGCGCGGACTCTCAAGAGGCCCTACCACCAGTAAGAATTGTAAAAGTATTGTAAAAAGATTGAATGCATTTGAATTGACCACCACTATTTTACAGGTATTCGATTTTATTGTGAAACTGGTAACGCAAGCAAAAAAGAAATCTTCTCTTGTATCACTGGAAGGGCTCCATCATTGTTTGAACAGAACAATACTTTTCTTATTATCACGTTCTACTGATTCCATAGCCGATCAGATGTCCGTATTGGAGGCTTTACATAAACTAACGACGAACAGGTTTGTGTACTATGATTAAGAGTGAAATACATTATTCCCAATATAGGCCCTAGGCCGCACTATGGTTTTTTCCCGGGAGCGGTTAACCGCTATAACCGCTATAACCGCGAAACCGCTTAACACGCTGCAATTATTAACCGCGAATTCACCAGTGATTTTCAGAGTTTTAACATAGATTAAAGAGCAGTATGTATTGTTGCTCTTATACTAAGAAATAGAAAAAAATAACGTCATCGAAAAATGTTGGGTCCATCCATAGATTTGAGAAAGTTTTCTTTCATAAGAAATATCAAAATTTAAGAAAATACCCAGAGAAAATTTTCAATTATTATCGGATGTCAGTAGCCAGCTTCGATAAAATTCTGCTCGATGTGCGTCCATGCATCAACTTCGTGGATACAAATACATATTTCCGAAATTTATTCCACAATTCATAAAAAATCGCCCGCGGCTACGCATAGTGCGTGCACGCACACCTAGTTCTAAAGATTACAAATTTTGCTAAGGTTTTTTACGCGATTATTTTGTAACATTTCGCGGTTTAAAAATCAATCGCGGGAAAGAAAGGCAAGTGCGGCCGCTTGTATTCGTATTCCTATTAATAGTCTTAAACCGCTGCGGTTTAACCGTGGTGCGGCCTAGGCCATATAAGTAATGTAAGTAATGACAAGACGTGGATGAGAATGGCGGGCTATGGAACATTATGGCGTTAAGAAGGGGAAGCTTATGCCTAGCAGTGCGTACATAACACATGTTGATGATGAATGAAAGACTGCAAGTAGAACCACCTGAATTTTTTTAAGACCCGATCTTTTTTTTAAAGAACTTAATAACTCAATAAAATATTAATTTATGTTGTTTCGAATTTTAAAGTCTTGAAAATAAATAGCTGCATAAAAACATTATAATAACGTGAACGAATCTGTTCTAGGCTGCTTATATTTGGGGCGGGAAATCATGAGTTGGAGTTTATCGGTTGCCTGACGTATTGCCTGCTGCAGTTGAGTGCTAACATGAAGATCGCTTTAGATTCGCACATGCGCACCACTTGGCACGTTAATCCCAGCGGAGATCTAGAATCTAGGGATGATAAGCTGACAACTCACCAAGGTATTGTTTAATCTTTGGTAGCATATTTTCATGTTAATTCGAAAATCTTTGTAGAACAGAAAAACTTTTTTTTTTTTGATAAACAATGATGGTCACTGATAATGTTGAACTAAAATGTTCTCGATACCAAAAATAATTATTATTGATGAATTACAAGTCGATTATTTTGTTTTTTTTTTATTGCTTACTTGGTTGGACGAGCTCACGGCCCACCTGGTTTTAAGTGGTTACCGGAGTTCATAGACGTAAACGACAAAGGACAACGTGAATGCCACCACCCACCTTGAGACATGAGTTCTAAGGTCTCACCCTTCAAAGGTACCTGCCCGTGCGGACTCACAAGCACTCCTACCACCAGTTTTGTGATTTTAATACATTCTTCTAATTACACGTCTTTAATATTTAAAAAAATTTCTGATAGGACGTAATCTCATGGCGGGTGCTGCTCGTAGAGTGTGGGAGGAGTTATACGTGTGCAAGAAACCTGCTATAGAAGAAGTCTTCAAAATAACATTAGTGTTGCCAGTCGGTAACGCGCACGCTCCCGACCTCACTGCGGTCAGGGAACAGCTCAATGAAAGCGCTCACAAGCTGTGGATCAACTACATCGACACCGAAAGAAAAGTAAGCGTAATATATATACGTCTTTTATAATATTAAAAATAAAATATTTATATTCTAAGATTAAAATCATTGTGAAATTTAAGTCATAATTGTAGTGGCAGCGCTTACTAAAACTATAGTTTTCATCCTGATGGATAGTTTAGGCACGATACATCTGTTATTAAGTGGTTACCCATGCCGCTATCTTCTTTGAGGCACGAGGTCCCATTGTATTGTATAATGGCGGTCCAAACCTTCAAATCGGATAACATATTAGCAACGTAGCAGAAATAGCTAGAATAGTTGTATATACTATTATTGTATTATTTAATACGCATAATACAATATGCTAACCCTCAGACACAGCCCACTGAGTTTCTCGCCGGATCTTCTCAGTGGGTCGCGTTTCCGATCCGGTGGTAGATTCTGCGAAACACCGCTCTTGCTAGGGTTCGTGTTAGCATCGTCGTCAGGTTTGAGCCCCGTGAGCTCACCTACTAGTTAAGGTTACGCTGATTTAGCCTCTCTAGCCTCTTACCTTAGGTAGGAAAAAAAAACAATATGCTCCATAATCGTTTTTGTAAACGAAACTATTAGATATCTCAAGGTTAAATATTAATGGGCTATCATTACAACAGGCCGTATACAGAGTACCGTGGGAATTGCACAATCAGATCCAGTCCAAGATACAAAAAGTGACCGGCGGTTTGACCCGGCTTGCGTCCCGTACGAAGGTCAAAAAGGAGGATTCAGCTAAACAACGTCCCACCCCGCCCAGGGACCACGCGCTCGCTTACATGCAGGACCATGTGCAGTTGGTCAGGTGTGTATGCCCTTATTTCAATGGCATGTTTCCTTTTACTGACTTGGACCTGGAATATAATATCTTATAATTTACTCCTAATGTATGTAAAAAATCGATTATTGAGTAATTAAAATATATTACTTTTTTACTTTGTTCTGATCGATCTGACTAACGTTCCACACTTGACTTGATAGTTATGTCGTGATCTGTATTACGAACGATTAATAAACTAATTGTTCTAAACTACACCCGCCGTTTGTAGATTAATGATACAAAGCAGCTATGATGCTCCGCATTAACGCAGTATTTGGAACTAAATTCAATTTTAAAACAAATATAGCGTAACCCTTAGATTAAAAAAATGATGTGTGGTGTCATGGGACACCGGATAGGAACGAAGTTCCTTATTATAAAAATATTAATTTTAAGTTCTATTCGAGGTCTAAAGAAGATAATTATTCGGGTATACATTTTTTATTATGATTTTTTTATTGATAAAAAAAAAAAAACTACTTTATAAAGTTATGAATTTTATTTTATTCACAATGATTTATAAAAAATAAGTAATAATAATATACAAAGAAACAGCTATTTATATTAATAATAATAACCGTCATCACGTAGACTATACATTAGACACTGTATAGCCATCATACTAAGACTATACATAAATAATAAAAATCTTACGTTACGGACGTTTTTTCCCGGTTAGGGTATCCCTCCGCATCGTCCCATAAGGAACTTGTGAATCCGCACGGGTAGGTACCACCACCCCGCCTATTTCCGCCGCGAAGCAGTAATGCGTTTCGGTTCGAAGGGTGGGGTAGCCGTTGTAACTACATATACTGAGACTTTAGAACTTATATCTCGAGGTGGGTGGCGCATTTACGTTGTAGATTTCTATGGGCTCCAGTAACCACTTAACACCAGGTGGGCTGTGAGCTCGTCCACCAATCTAAGCAATAAAAAAAAAAACTTAGTTCAAAAAGGAATTAAAACGTGGTGTCGGTCGTGGGTTGCAGACAGGCGTGGTGCAAGGAGCGTGCGAGCGCGGCCAACACGCGCGCGCACACGACGCGCTACGTGCAGGCGGAGTGGGCGGGCGCGTGGCGGGAGCTCACCCGCGAGCGCGCGCTGTGGGGCCCGCCGCGACCCGCGCCGCTCGACAAGTGGGCGCTCGACTGCACCGAGGGACCCTGCCGCATGCGCAAGATGCTGCGCCGGAACCATCTCTTCTACGCGCACTACCCCTACAGGGCCGACCTCGACAACCCAGATAACGTACGTTTGTAACACACTCATATCGTCTTTTCGCATTAGAAGTGTACAATTTCCAAAAATATATTATATTATATATAAAGACAGATAATGTAACTGGTAAAAAAAAGTTACAAAGATGATTAATATTAAAAATATCACATGTTAAACCTTTAAAACACTCCTGTAAAATTAGTAAGTTTTAAGATTACACAGTTTTGATGCGAGAAGACGATATATTATGCATACTAGGAAACTGTCGAATACGAGCAGACAGTCAAATGTTTGTCCATAGCTATTTGATTGTAACGTGCAAAAATAGTCAATTATTACGTTATAGTCACCCTGTGGTAATCGGTTTGGAAAGAAGAAAAATCATGAATACTGATAAGTTATTATGCGTGACTCAAAAAATTTTTTTTTTCATTTATGTTAAAGCACAACACTATTACCGTTTCGGCTTATTATATCTGATATAACATGCACGTTTCAATTAATTTTATTACAGAAACAATTAAAGTACAAAGTCGCCCAAAGCTTAGACAGCAAGGAATATTACCGCGTGTATCAGCAATGGCGGACGGCCGGCGCTATATTGGACGAGGACGACAGCGTCGAGACACCCGAAATTAACAACTTCGAAGAGCCCGTAGCCAAGTACGTTCATAGACTCACACATACATTTACTGGTGGTAGAACATCTGGTGAGTCCGCACTGGTAGCGGTAGGCAGCGGCTTGGCTCTGCCCCTGGCATTGCTGAAGTCCATGGACGACGGTAACCACTCACTATCAGGTGGGCCGTATGCTCGTCTGCCTACAAGGGCAACAAAATAAAAATGGTAGGTGCCACCTTTGAAGGGTGGGGCAGACGTTGTTAAAAGTGAGACCTTAGAACTCATGTCTCAAGGTGGATGGCGCCGTTTACGTTGTAGATGTCTATGGTGACCATTTAGCAACCAGGTGGGTCGTGAGGTGAGCACGTCCACCCATCTAACCAATAAAAAAAACAATCGAACCGTCAACCGACGTGTTAATAGTACATTCAATTATTCTAGATGACGTTCTATTTCTCCCGTAGCACGAGTCAAACAAACTCAGTGGATGTGGTGGCGAATGAGGACGGGTCGCCTTCCGATTTAGTCAGCAGCGGCGTTGTTAGTCGGGGCACGAACCAAGCCTCTGGAGAAGGTAAATGTTACACAATATTGCCCAAATTAAAGTTCTTTCATATACTTACAGAAACAGCTTAAGAAGTTATAAAATTTATTCTGAATCAAAATAGACAATAATTTTTTTTTTTAATATCATAAATGTAGTCGGAAGTCAATGCAAATATGTATACATTAAGTATAACTCAGAAACTAACGGGTAGATCTTGGTAAAATTTAAAAAGGATTACAGTGAAGTAGAAGCTTTAAAATAAATAAATAAAAACATCATCAGAATTCGTTCACGTAGAAATAAGTACAGTCTCAATAGCACTGAAACATTCAGCCCTTCATACTAGTGATTTGAAGTCAATATGGCTTCGTGCCGGAATTGAGGCACTGACCCGCCATGGCTCTGAACCGCTAATAAATATCATAATTATCTTGTGTTATAGCAAACGAAGATGGCCTAGATAATGAAGACGAAGATGAACAACCAACACCTCCTCCGGATAATCAGACTCTTCTTAGGCTGTTGGAACACCACGAAAAGGTGCAGTACCAGTAAAGTAAAACAGCAACTCTCCGAAAAAAAAAAAAACTATAAATCGCTATTCCAAGACCATTTATGAGATATGTTTTCCAAAAATTGTATCATAATTGGAATACCGTTTCAGAATTGAATGTATTTAAAATTTATTACTCGAATACTGAAAAGGTAACGAAAATCCTGTCTCCAGATTTCACATATGTTCCGCTGCGCAAGAATTCAAGGCTTAGACACGACTGAAGGACTTCTGCTGTTCGGACGTGAGCATTGTTACGTCATCGATGGGTTTACGTTGTTGAAAAATCGAGAAATACGCGACTTGGACAGCTGTCCCGACGATTACGAACCTATACTTCCCAGCCAAGGGATACAGCGGAGCAACCAACGACAGTGCTCTAAATTTTTATATGAAGACATTAGGTAAAAAAATACAATACTGTTAATGCATGTTAATATTCCTTTTTATTAACAAAATTTGATAAAAAACTTGTTAAATTAACTAATTAAATTGAACTAAATAATTTATTATATTAACTAAAATGTGAACCTAACTAAATTTGATAAATAACATGATTGAAGGAAACAGGTGTAAACTAATTTTATTTACACTGTGTCTGTTAATAAAGACCCTAATGTCTGTGATATGAACTTATGGGCGTACACATAGGTTTTTATTTAGTTATAAAATACTCAATAATTATTTTTTTCTATTAATAACGAAAAATTTTATGATAACTTTGTTTTTTAGGGAAGTGCACAAAAGAAGATATTTATTACAACCGATAGCTCTAGAAGTTTTTTCCAGCGATGGAAGAAATTACTTATTGGCTTTCCCCAGGAAAGTTAGAAATAAGGTAAATGTTACTTCAATAGGTACATATTAAATTAACTAGCGACTCGCCCTCGCTTCGTTTTGGAGACTATCATTTATTCTTGATTTTATTGAATTTTCCTTTATATAAATCTGAATGGGGTATTCGTTGTGTAGGTGTACAGCAGGTTCACGGCGCTGGCGACCGGCATGGCGGACAGCGCGGCGGGCTCGGTGGCGGGACAGAAGCGCGGCGTGCCCGTCGAGCAGCCCGCCGGCCTATTCGCCTCGCTCATCGGAGACACCTCCGTCACGCAACGGTGGCTGGTAGGTCATACTCATCCAACTTATCTATTATCTTTTCGTATATGATATTCATGTGCGTGTGTGTGGAGCGCGCGTGCGTGCGTGTGTGCGTGCGTGCGTGCGTGTGTGTGTATGTGTGAGTGAGTGTGACTGTATGTGTGTGTGTGTTGCGATTTTTTTACTGAGGTACCTAAAAATGTTAAAAAAAAAATTAGGTTTGTTACATTTCAAATCAGTAAACTAATAGCAACACGCGCAAACAAATAAATTAAATAAAGAAATATAATACTAAAGCTAGTTTACTAGGTATTAGGACGATATTCTTAAACAAGAAATTGTTTTTGAAATGTAAGATAATAATAAGTGTCAATCTTATAAGATTTTATTGATTTACATACGTTATTACGTGTAAAATATATATATATATGTCGGCGCAAATATGACTATTTACCTACTGATCATCAACTAATTACTCTGTGATAAGAAATTGATGTTAAACGGTCCCTTTTATTGTAATTTCAATACTTTAAAATCTTGTAAACACGCTCACGTGTTTAATACTTGTAAACACGCTGACGTGTACGAAGTCCTATAAATACGGCCGTGCTGTCTAGCGTTTATTCATTCGTGTCCGAGCCGTTGTACTGTACGGATCTCTCTGTAAAGTTGTTACGCTTCTCGTGCAATATACGCAGTTCTCGTGAAGTTTTCTTTTAGTAACCCAAATATGAGTCACCATCAAGAAAGTAATAACCGTGACGTCACACTTTTTAAAAACATTGCTTTTGTATCTACTCCGTTATCAGAAGTGGGATCACATGCCGCCTCCGCTCAGCAACAACCTGAAGCTACATTACAAACAGAACCACACCATGGATTAAATACTACAGGCAATACTGGGAGTCACTTGGAACAGGAACAGGAACAGCCACAATCAGCATTGCTTAACGCACCGATGAGCAGCGTACCGCCACAATTCATCATGCAGATGATGCATGTGATGCAGCAAATGTCGGAACGCTTAAATACACCAGCAGAAACTAAGATACGTATTAATGATATTTACCTACCAACATTTGATCCCGATACTAATGTGGGAGTACGTGAGTGGTGTCAACATATCGACAAAGCCATCGAGACTTATCGACTAAACGACTTTGACATACGTATGAAAGTTGGCAGCCTCCTAAAAGGAAGAGCGGAAATGTGGGTTGACAATTGGATGGTCACTGCAGCTTCGTGGGCTGAGCTGCGCAACAATCTTATCACGACATTCGAGCCAGAAAACCGCTATTCTCGAGACATAGCTCGATTTAGAGAACATGAGTACGACTCGACAAAAGACATTGCGGAGTTCCTGTCACGCGCTTGGATCTTGTGGCGAAGAATCACCAAGGACAAGCTGGGAGACGAACACGCCGTAGAGGCAGTGATTGGATGCATAAATGACGAGCGTTTGCGTATTGAACTACTGAATACCAGGGCAACAACTGTTCCTGAGCTCATCTCAATAGCAACATCCACACGGAAGAAACGTAGTCATCCAAGCTCCAGTTCCACTACATATAATAAACGTCCTCGCTTTTCGGACCATACACCATCTACATCAAGCTGCCGTATTTGTAAAAAGACGAACCACAACACTAACGACTGTAGATTCAAGCCTTCTGAAACTAAACCTGAAGCTAAGAACAATGTGGATTCGAAAACAACAACTGTACCTACCTGTACCTACTGTAAGAAACCAGGCCACACTTACGAAACTTGCTTCAAACGCGAACGTTCACTGACTTCAAACGTGAACGCGTAACGGGTCATAAACTGGCTTAAAGTTAAACAGAGACGGGACGATGAACCACGATCAATAATAGACAGCCTCAGTAATAATAACTCAATAGAAGATTGTGTTTTGGAGGACAATATCCTAAAGAAGAAGCTCAATGACCCCACCTTCGGTCAACAGCTCAGTATAGTCGTTCCCAAGTCCTTTCAATGGAGCATTATTAACTCTTTTCATAATACCCCGGCTGGGAAAATCCGACTTATTGGTTCAACAAAATGAGTTCTACTGTTCAAACATTTGTGGATAACTGTGTCATATGCCGATCATCCTAAGGAAGATCCAGGGCCATTCAAGCCCAATTACACCCGATACAAAAACCGACGGCTGCCTTCCAAGTTATTCATATGGACATAGCAGGGAAGCTGGGTACTCCAGATGATCAGCATACATTAGCGGCTCTAAAACGTGCTGTGCATCTATTTGGTGCACCGGTTCAAATAATAGTCGATGGAGGAAGAGAGTTCTTTGGCGAATTCAAGGAGTACTACGTCAATATTGGAATAAATATCCATGCTATCGCTCCAGAGTTGGAAGGGTCATTGCAACCCTCAAATACATGAAGTCTATAGAATACTGGAAAATGACCGTTATTTGATATCGGTCGAGGACAACCCCGCAAGGTCGCCCAAGATCAGCTACGCCGTGCTCCACAACCTGGTGATCAGTTGACCGTATCGGCGGGAAACTAGTCACTTACTCAGATCCTACTCCAGAACCAACCGAGCCCATTCCATCAACCTCACGTGAAGAACTACAAACACAACCAAATTACGACCTACAGGGTGAAGATGACACATCAGAATAAATCAAGTGGGATCACATGCCGCCTCCGCTCAGCAACATGGAGACCATTTAACCATATCGGCGGAAGAAGACTACCCCCCAGCAACAGCCGATGAGCCTATACATCTACTTCACAAATCAGCATGGTCGAGCAACAAAATCAACACTCAAAGATAAGTTTTTATTTTTGATTACTAAAATTCCACCACATAAGTACCACAGTGTACGCCCACTGCATAAGTACCACAGTGTACGCCCACTGCATAAGTACCACAGTGTACGCCCACTGCATAAGTACCANACTCGCTATTAAGCACCATCAAACTCATTGATTTAGTCAATAATAAAAATCAAAATCAAACTTTACTTAAATCAATAATTTCTGTCAACTTTCCTAAAAACTCTAAATTTTGACTAAATTCTATAAAATTGGCAAAACTTGCTCTTGTTAATGTTCACACACTTTCAAAAACCTTAATTTATTCATTCCTAATCATAAAAACTGAAAAAGAAAAAGAATCTGTAAAATTCATTTATAAAACATGGTGGGCCCTATTTTGTTTTGAGTAGTTTATGTGTGGACAAGCTTACAGCCCACCTGGTGTTAAGTGGTTACTGGAGCCCATGGACATCTACAACGTAAATGCACCACCCACCTTGAGATATAAGTTCTAAGGTCTCAGTATAGTTACAACGGCTGTCCCAACCTTCAAACCGGAACGCATTACTGATTCACGGCTGAAATAGGCGGTACCTACCCGTGCGGACTCACAAGAGGTCCTAACCACCAGTAATTATGCAAATTATAATTTTGCGGGTTTGATTTTAAAACAAATATAGCGTAACTCTTAGATTAAAAAGGAATTAAAACGTGGTGTCGGTCGTCGGTTGCAGACAGGCGTGGTGCAAGGAGCGTGCGAGCGCGGCCAACACGCGCGCGCACACGACGCGCTACGTGCAGGCGGAGTGGGCGGGCGCGTGGCGGGAGCTCACCCGCGAGCGCGCGCTGTGGGGCCCGCCGCGGCCCGCGCCGCTCGACAAGTGGGCGCTCGACTGCACCGAGGGACCCTGCCGCATGCGCAAGATGCTGCGTCGGAACCATCTCTTCTACGCGCACTACCCCTACAGGGCCGACCTCGACAACCCAGATAACGTACGTTTGTAAAACACCCATATCGTCTTTCCAAAAATATTCGAAATTGAGTTAATATGCGGAATCATTTGGTATCACCAGTATTTTTCTCATAATTTCGCGGTAGACAGCGGCTTGGCTCTGCCCCAGGCATTGCTGAAGTCCATGGGCGGCGGTAACCACTCACCATCATACAATACATAATTTTATCTTACTTTAAAAGATAGATAATGTAAGTGGTAAAAAAAATGTTACAAAGATGATTAATATTAAAAATAAACCACACGTTAAACCTTTAAAACACCTCCTGTAAAATTAATAAGTTTTGAGACTATACAGTTTTAATGCGAGAAGACGATATATTATTATGCATACTAAGAAACTGTCAAATACGAGCAGATAGTCAAATGTTTGTACATAGCTATTCGATTGTAACGTGCGAAAATAGTCAATTATTGCGTTCTAGTAGTCACCTTGTGGTTATCGGTTTGGAAAGAAAAATAATAATGAATACTGATAAGTAACTATGCGTAACTCAAAAAAAAATGTTAAAGCACAACACTATTAGCGTTTCGGCTTATTATATCCAATTAATTTTATTTCAGAAACAATTAAAGTACAAAGTCGCCCAAAGCTTAGACAGCAAGGAATATTACCGCGTGTATCAGCAATGGCGGACGGCTGGCGCTATATTGGACGAGGACGACAGCGTCGAGACACCCGAAATTAACAACTTCGAAGAGCCCGTAGCCAAGTACGTTCATAGACTCACACATACATTTACTGGTGGTAGAACATCTGGTGAGTCCGCACTGGTAGCGGTAGGCAGCGGCTTGGCTCTGCCCCTGGCATTGCTGAAGTCCATGGGCGACGGTAACAACTCACCATCAGGTGGGCCGTATGCTCGTCTGCCTACAAGGGCAACAAAATAAAAATGGTAGGTGCCACCTTTGAAGGGTGGGGCAGCCGTTGTTAAAAGTGAGGCCTTAGAAATCATATTTCAAGGTGGGTGGCGTCGTTTACGTTGTAGATGTCTGTGGTGACCATTTATCACCAGGTGGGTCGTGAGCACGTCCATCCATCTAAGCAATAAAATAAAACAATCGAACCGTCAAACGACGTGTTAATAGTACATTCAAATATTCTAGATGACGTTCTATTTCTCCCGCAGCACGAGTCAAACAAACTCAGTGGATGTGGTGGCGAATGAGGACGGGTCGCCTTCCGATTTAGTCAGCAGCGGCGTTGTTAGTCGGGGCACGAACCAAGCCTCTGGAGAAGGTAAATGTTACACAATATTGCCCAAATTAAAGTTCTTTCATATACTTACAGAAACAGCTTAAGAAGTTATAAAATTTATTCTGAATCAAAATAGACAATTTTTTTTTTTTAATATCATCAATGTAGTCGTAAGTCAATTCAAATATGCATTAAGTATAACTCAGAAACTAACGGGTAGATCTTGGTAAAATTTAAAAAGGATTACAGTGAAGTAGAAGCTTTTAAATAAATAAATAAAAACATCATCAGAATTCGTTCATGTTGAAATAAGTACAGTCTTAACAGCACTGAAACATTCAGCCCTTCATATTAGTGATTTGAAGTCAATATGGCTTCGTGCCGGAAATGAGGCACCGACCCGCCATGGCTCTGAACCGCTAATAAATATCATAATTATCTTGTGTTATAGCAAACGAAGATGGCCTAGATAATGAAGACGAAGATGAACAACCAACACCTCCTCCGGATAATCAGACTCTTCTTAGGCTATTGGAACACCACGAGAAGGTGCAGTACCAGTAAAATAAAACAGCAACGCTCCGAAAAAAAAAAAAAAAAAACTATAAATCGCTATTCCAAGACCATTTATGAGATATGTTTTCCAAAAATTGTATAATAATTGGAATACCGTTTCAGAATTGAATGTATTTAAAATTTATTACTCGAATACTGAAAAGGTAACGAAAATCTTGTCTCCAGATTTCACATATGTTCCGCTGCGCAAGAATTCAAGGCTTAGACACGACTGAAGGACTTCTGCTGTTCGGACGTGAGCATTGTTACGTCATCGATGGGTTTACGTTGTTGAAAAATCGAGAAATACGCGACTTGGACAGCTGTCCCGACGATTACGAACCTATACTTCCCAGCCAAGGGATACAGCGAAGTAACCAACGACAGTGCTCTAAATTTTTATATGAAGATATTAGGTAAAAAAATACGATACTGTTAATGTATGTTAATGTTCCTTTTTCTTAACAAATTTTTTGTAAATAGATATGTAACTTAACTAAATTTGTGAAAATAACACGATTGAAGAAAACAGGTGTAAACTAATATTATTTACACCGCATCTATTAATAAAGACCCTAAAGTCTGTTGGTGTGAACTTATGGGCACATACACTTTTTTATTTAGTTATAAAATGCTCACACATTTTTTTCTGTGATAACGAAAAATTTAAAAATAATTTTGTTTTTTAGGGAAGTGCACAAAAGAAGATATTTATTACAACCGATAGCTCTAGAAGTTTTTTCCAGCGATGGAAGAAATTACTTATTGGCTTTCCCCAGGAAAGTTAGAAATAAGGTAAATGTTACTTCAATAGGTACATATTAAATTAACTAGCGACTCGCCCTCGCTTCGTTTTGGAGACTATCATTTATTCTTGATTTTATTGAATTTTTCCTTTATATAAATCTGAATGGGGTATTCGTTGTGTAGGTGTACAGCAGGTTCACGGCGCTGGCGACCGGCATGGCGGACAGCGCGGCGGGCTCGGTGGCGGGGCAGAAGCGCGGCGTGCCCGTCGAGCAGCCCGCCGGCCTATTCGCCTCGCTCATCGGAGACACCTCCGTCACGCAACGGTGGCTGGTAGGTCATACTCATCCAACTTATCTATTATCTTTTTCGTATATGATATTCATGTGCGTGCGTGTACGTGTGTGTGAAATCAGTAAACTAATAGCAACACGCGCAAACAAATAAATTAAATAAAGAAATATGATACTAAAGCTAGTCTACTAGGTATTAGGACGATATTCTTAAACAAGTAAATGTTTTTAATATAAACATAGGATTTATCGTGTTCTACATTATTAAATGTGAAATAAACTTCTGTTTTTCGATACTCCGTGTACATAGTAATTGCCTTCATTCGTAAGAGTTTGGCGTTAATTTGTTATATCGGTGCCATTATGACGTCATGCGTCATGTTCAGTGCTTTATAAGAGTTTATAGACATTTATATGTACGTGTTTCGTTAATTCTATATAATTTCCAAAAAGTGGTGTATTTCCTTATGAAAACGTGAAAACTAAATTAGAAAAAAATTGTTACAGCGAGGAGAAATATCAAACTTCCAATATTTAATGCACTTGAACACCCTCGCTGGGCGGTCGTATAATGACCTCATGCAGTACCCTGTGTTTCCGTGGATTCTTGCCGACTATGATACCTTAGAGCTGGATCTAAACGACCCGGCGACGTTCCGGGATCTTACTAAACCAATGGGAGCGCAAAATCCTGAACGATTGGAACAATTCAGAAAGAGATATAAGGTACGAGTAAACTGGTGACTACAGTTCATATTTTATTAGGTCTCTACTTATGTAGTTGCCATAGGTAAAATACTGGTCGTTTGAAACGTAATTTATGTATAGCTGGCAATAAATACTAAATTCAAATGAATTTTATTTCAAGGATATGAATTTCTATTTTCAAATTCGGAATTTTGTTTTTGATTAGTGTTTTGTTTTCACTACCTTTGTCTTTTTAATTAATATGGACACGATAAAAATACGAGTTTATAAAACATGATACAATGACATGTCATAAAATTAATAAAATGAACATAGAAATGAGGTTAGACCATTCTAAGGTTCGAACGATAACTTTCTTTATTGTGTAATCGGAAAAATCACACCATCGTTTTTTTTTATATGTGACTGTCAGCTGATAACGCTATTTTGTTTCTGGCAATAAAGTGATGTTATGGATAAGAAGATTGTTTGTGTTTTCAGGAGTGGGACGATCCTCACGGCGAGACGCCTCCGTATCACTACGGCACGCACTACTCTTCCGCCATGATCGTGTGCTCGTACTTAGTGCGTATGGAACCATTCACGCAACACTTCTTGAGACTCCAAGGCGGCCATTTTGATTTAGCTGACAGGTAAATAAATATAATACAAACTAAAAATATTTGCTCAGTGGTACATATATCGTTACTAATTTACTGGTGGTAGGACCTCTTGTGAGTCCGCGCGGGTAGGTACCACCACCCCGGCTATTTCTGCCGTGAAGCAGTAATACGTTTCGGTTTGAAGGGTGGGGCAGCCATTGTAACTATACTTAAACTATACGTAGAACTATTCGTAGAAATTATATCTCAAGGTAGGTGGCGCATTTACGTTGTGGATGTCTATGGGCTTCAGTAAGCACTTAACACCAGGTGGGCTGTGAGCTCGTCCACCCATCTAAGCAATAAAAAAAAATCAATATTGGTTTATTTCAGAATGTTTCATTCGATAAAGGAAGCGTGGAACTCAGCTTCTAAACACAATATGGCCGACGTGAAAGAATTGATTCCAGAATTCTTTTATTTACCAGAGTTTTTAGTCAATTCGAATAATTTTGATCTGGGTAAGTCTATTTAACTATCAATTTATTTGAAACCTTAACCACAGTGATTTATTTAAAAAAAATTAAGTTTTATCCCTTAACATGAAAACTCAAGATTGAGTTAAATTTAGGATCGATTGTGGTCAGGTTGTAAGCAGTCCGGCGTGGCCCTGGGTGACGTGGTGTTGCCGCCGTGGGCCAAGGGGGATCCTCGCGAGTTCATACGTCTGCACCGCGCCGCGCTGGAGTCTGATTACGTTTCTCACAGACTCCACCACTGGATCGACTTAGTTTTCGGATACAAACAACAAGGACAACCGGCAGTTGACTCATCTAACGTATTCCATCATTTGTTTTACGAAGGAAACGTTGATATTTACAAGTGAGAATCTATAGAATATATTTGTCAGAAAATAATATGGAAATCGATTGTAAAGCATCATCACTTAGTACTTGTATATTTTAATGTGAAAATGTTGTCTTGTTTCAGTATTGATGATCCCCTTAAAAAGAACGCCACCATTGGCTTCATAAATAACTTTGGACAGATCCCTAAACAGTTGTTCAAAAAGGCTCATCCCAGTAAGAAAATGTCGCAAAGGAGCTCCACGATATTAGATCCTAATAACATAATACCATCTCAAGGTATCACTCCACCTGAAAAATTGTTCTTCCACAATCTAGAAAATTTGAGGCCTTCTTTACAACCAGTAAAAGGTGAGTAATAATTGATCGATTAGGATTAGGACGCCTATTATTTATAATTCGAAATGAATAATACTTGCATAATAAATAAATTGTCGTTTTATACAGTATTTTATCAAACTGATAATTCATAATGTGAGGATCAAATGATTGATAACCTCGTCAGAGCAGTTCCATATCTGTACTGCGAAATTTGACAATTCATACTTTGCTTTTATCTTTTTCTGCGTTCTCTAAATAAATTTAATAGGTACAAGAAAAAATGCACGTGTATTTTTCTGGAAATACGCGTGAAAAACTCGCGTAACTATTGCTCTCACTTCTAACGGATTTTTGACGACATAAGCACTTAAGCTATATAGTAATACCGACAACTTCAAGATTGCACGAACCCTACCGAAAAGTAATGTGATTTTCATATTATGAATCTTAGTATGCAGCGAAAACCGAATACACATAGTAAAATGTCTTTGCTTCGTACATATCTCTTAAATTGGCTCGAATAAAAATGTATAATATTTTATTACCACAGAAAATATTGTTCGTTATGAATATATTGTTTTATACAATTTGTAATGTATAAGAAGATACTGATAATTTACAAATCATCGGATAGGTACTTTATAACATTTTAAGTTGTAATAAGTTCTGGAGATGAAGGAAGATGTTTACTTAATTATGGTAAAATTTGTTGAAAAAATGAGAATAATAAAAACAAATTATCTTAAAATATTGGAACAAATTATCTTAAAATATTGGTTCAATTAGACATAAAAATTACCTATAAGATATTACTGAAATTCTAAAATCAATTATCTCTACACATTCCGCAGAAGTGAAAGGCCCCGTCGGTCAAATATTATATACAGATAAAGCGATCCTAGCAGTAGAACAGAACAAAGTGTTGATGCCTCCCTCGTACAACAAGTACGTGGCTTGGGGCTTCGCTGATCATTCTTTGAGGATTGGGAACTACGACAACGACAAGGCGGTGTTCGTGTGCGAATCTGTGGCGCAGTCCTGTGGGGAAATTGTGGCTTGTGTCTGCCCCTCGGCCAAGACTATCGTGACCGCCGGCACCAGTACCGTGAGTAATTGTTTATAAAGAATACAAAGCTGTATTCCATTAGGAATACATTCTTTATTACTTTGGAGATCAGCGGCTTCGGAACATCAAAGATGTCAGAATTCAAGACTAATCTATATCAATTAGGAAAGATTTGTTTGTTTGTATTGAATAGGCACCGAAACTACTGAACTGAGTTGAAAAGTTCTTTCACTGTTTGGAAGCTACACTATTCCCGAGTGACAGGCTATAATAATCTTTTTTGAAAAAAATTAGGGTCCTTACTAAAACTCCAATAATGTAACCCAAGGTGTAAAAAAATAACCTAAAATATTATTTACATCGCGTGCCCTGCGAAAACTATTCATGATAAAATAAAAGAATGTACTACGATTTTGTAGAACACATTATTATTTACAAAAAGTTTCGCGACAGCATATGTCTAACTATTATAGTTACGCAGCAATAAGTGGTTTTTTTTATTTAAAAAAATAAAACAACGTCTAATATAGTTGAAATTTTTGTTAGAGACCCGAGCGGAGCCGGAGCGGGCCGCTTGTTATTTAGATAAATAAGGTCGAAGTTCCTCCAATGAATTATCGTATCGCTTGGACGATGAGATTTATTCTAGTATAGGATCGTTCAGCTTTCTCTGCAATAAATTTAAATTTTCAAATGTAATTCGTATCAAATTATTCGCAGGTCGTAACGGTGTGGCAGTATTTGGCTCGCCGGCGTCGGCTGTCGGTCAAGGTGTGTCTGTACGGTCACGAGGAGGCCGTGACGTGCCTGGCGGCCAGCCCCGCCTACAACCTGGTGGTGAGCGGCAGCCGGGACGGGCAGGTCATCGTCTGGGACGTCGAACGCGGCTCCTTCATCCGGCAACTGGTGCCCGACAACACGCGCGGCCCGCACCCCCCCGTGTCCGCGCTCGCCATCGACGACTTAACCGTAAGTTTTGTTAATTAAAGGCTTCGTCAAACAGAACGGGTACTTAGCGCTGCGTTTTAACGTCGCGCTCTTTTCATATCACACAAATTTACTAGACGAGCCTAACGCTCCTTGACGCAACGTAACATCCGCCAAATCATAGTGCCTTTCGATAGCAGTCTGAAAATTTAAAAGTATTAAGATTCGAGTGATCCAGATGTGGCATTTTATAAGCTCGGTAAGCAGCGGCTTGGCTCTGTCCCTGGCATTGCTGAAGTCCATGGGCGGCGGTAACCACTCACCATCAGGTGGGCCGTATGCTTGTCTGCCTACACGTTCTGTTTGACGAATCCTAAAGGCTTTTCAGGCGTTGTAATTTTTTACAAATTTCATTTTAGTGTCCAAGTGAATGTGTATTAAAATAATGGATAATTCCCGAAAAATTGATAGAATTAGTTAGAAAATACTCGTGCTTATACAATGCCACATCTGAATCATTCGACATCTTAATACTTTTAAATTTTCACACTGCTATCGAAAGGCACTATGATTTGGCGAATGCGTTGCGTCAAGGAGCGTTGGACTCATCTAGTCAATTTATGTGACATGAAAAAAGCGCGACGTTAAAACGCAGCGCTAAGGACGCGTTCTGTTTGACGAAGTCTTAAACGTCACGCAAAGGTTTGGATTCGATGAAAGCGGTTCTTGTCTGTTTGTTCCAGGGCGACATAGCCACGTGTCGCGGCAGCTGGTTGTATCTGTGGTCCATCAACGGCACGTTGCTGGGCGGCGTGGACACGGCGGGAGGGCGTGAACGGTCGCATCAGATTCTGTGCGTCGCTTTCAGCCAGACCCGCGAGTGGGACCCGCTCAACGTCGTCATCACGGGCTCGTCGGACGGGGTCGTCCGGGTTCGTATACCACTCAGTCCATATACGTTCACAATGCACAAACCTAACCAACACTAGTTGGTTTAACATTTGAAGATATGAGTGGAGGAAGAGGATATGGTACAATCTGTTAATTTTGAGTAAAGGGGAAACAAACTTTTGTTACTTGTACTTTTTCTTCGTACACAACTCCACCATCACATGCAATTTCTAAAAAAATGCCATTAAACCCGGAGTTTTAAGGTCTAATACGTTTTATAGCCACACAACACCTTCATTCAATGTAAAAACTCAAAAATCTTAAGAATGGTACTTAATCCCTTCATTCACTCGTCTTTATTTAGTAGTGGTCCAGTAGTCGAAATTCGACAGTAATTATTAATTTAAATTATAAGTTTCTATTGTCAAAGACCTTACTTCTATAATCACAGATTTCGGGAAGTCTACACTAAACAAATAATACTAAAGACAAACAATGTTAATCTATTCTCAAGTTGAACACAGACTAACAATAAACAAAAGAGTATATATGCGTGTGTGTGTCAAATACGTGGTAATTTGTGTAATGTTTTATTTATTGATTTAATGTATTTTTATGCATAGTTAAAAAAAAATAGCATTCTGCATTCTATATTCTCCATAAGCGTGGGAAATTTCATAATCCTCCGTCCGCATAATTTTCACAAAGTTTTTGCTTCACGTATTAACATATTAATTTCGATATGATTGATGACCTAATAAACAACTCAAGTATGTTTCATTAGATGTGGTCCATAGACTACATAGCGGATACATCAGAGAGTCAAGTCGATGAAAGCTTAGACTGTGGCGATGTTAGTGTTGACCCTGCCTCGAGCTCTGCTGATGTAGACAAAGGGAAAGAAGAACAAAAATCATCGGAACTGGACACCGAGGAGTTGAGAACAGAGAGTGAGAGAACAGTCGATGCTGATGTGAAGATTAATGATCCTCAGCCCATAGAAACTGAGGCAGCTATCAAAAGAGTTGAAGAATTGGTTAAACAGATGAGTCTATCACAAGAAACTGATGGTAAGTTGTAAATTTAATGTTATACTTAGAAGCTGAATTCTTATAACTACTTGTTGAAAAAATTACTTCATAGTTCGAGTTTTAGTACTTTTTAATACGCTTTTATTAGCTTCAGACGTATATATTCGAAATTTGGTGTACTTATTAAGGACCGATGACAATTCAATATTAAAAAAAACATTGAAAAAATTGAAATTCAACTAAAAAACATTTATCCTCCTGCTTTTCAGGATATTATCAAAATAACCCTTCTGCTCATATCGGTTCATAAAATATTTATAACTACTGATACCACGCACCTCACGCTTTTTTATGAAATAAAATAATTTTTTCTTACACAATAGTGTAAGAAAAAATTGAAATATCAATTAATTCAAATTTATTAAAATTTATTTTCTATTTTTTAGTTGGATTTTCGATAAAAGCGTATTTTGTTAGCATTTTTTAAACTATTTTTTTTTTCTTTGTGATAGTTAGATAATTAGCAATCTTACTTTTAGGTCGTTTAGTAAAATCAGCATCAGAAAGTTCTCTGTCCGATGCCTGTGAAACTAGTGCAAAGGAGTCCGCTCGCAGACACGACGAGAAAGACATTTGCAGCGACAACGATGAAAGATTTGAACAAAAGGACGAACATATTGTCGATTCTTGTGATGAAGTCAAACAGGATTACGACAACGAGAAGGAAGTTGATGATGACAAAGAAAATCTGACACACCGATGTAAGCTTCAGAAGCAAGGAAACGTAATACTGAGGCGGAAGTCAAAGGCGAATCCGTTGTACAGGAAAAGTAAGTAATAAAATTCTAATGATTGTTTTTTATTTTTTATTTTTCTTCTTTGTCTCTACCTTATCTCACTAGGTGAGGTCGGCACAGCGAATTTTTCTATTCCATTCTCTTCTATCAACCGTCATCTCAACACTCACCCTCTCTCTCTCATATCGTCATTCACACACGCCATCCTAGTCTTCTTCGGTCGACCTCTTCCCCTTCTACCTTGCACTACCATTTTCATACATGTCCTAGTCACATGCATCTCCTCTCTACACATCAAATGTCTTTTTTATTTTTTACTAGCGACCTGCCCTCGCTTCGCTTAAGTAACTGTAATTTATTATTGATAACAGTATTTCTCCACTATTTAATGGATGTTATTATTAGGAGTGGGTGATATAAATCGTATATAGATTCAATATCTATATATCGCAGCAATATCGTTGAATCCGATATCGCCCCGCACGAAATCTATATATCGATATCAGCCGATACACGATATTGCTCGATGTGATGCGTCGGCGTATCGCACCGATTCGTGAATCGAAATCTATATAGCGATATCAGCCGATACACGATATTGCTCGATGTGATGCGCATCGGCATATCGTACCGATTCGTGAATATCGGCAATATTCGTTTGGTTCGTATCGAATCGGCCAGAGTGAGTGAGCGCACGATAGGGATATCATGTGATGAATGAAACAGAAACAGGCATTATCCATACAATTGTAAACCTTATATTTAAGTCCATACGTCTGTAGATTATTCTTAGCGTATCAGCAGGATACAATTTAAGAAAGAAGTTTCAACTTTCGACCCTAACTTGAATGCAGTATAGCCTATTTGCATTGTTGCATTTAATTTCACGCGGTTTGACCTTGAACTAAAATTTTTGGACAAGTGTTTATACTTGTAAATGTAAATACTTAAGTTTATGTGTGTGATTTTTTAAATGCACAATTTTTATTTTTAGTTGAATCCAAATAGTTGAGTTCATTTGTAGTTTGTATTAAGCGTTTGAAATCTTAGAAACTTTTATATTAACATAAACTTTGTAAATAATTTATAATAAGATTTCGACTTAATTTTGCAGTGTGTGATTTATAAAATAGTGTGTAAATAATAACAGTGCACGTAGTAATTAGTAAATAGGTACTTAGTTATATTAAAATAATAATAATTGTGTGACACTTAAAAACAATAATGGCTCCTACAAATTCCAGTGTTTTATGGGAATTTTTTGATAAGTCAAATGAGGTTGATAAAAAGGCTAAATGTCGTGTTTGTGGTGACTTATATAGCTATAAAGGTACTACGGGGAATTTAAAGGCACATTTAAAAAACAGACATTTAGATGCATATTTAAGACTAACGAGTGGACAGCAAGAAATAAAAACAGAATATTGTCGATACTACACCATCAGTGCCACATGTTACAATAACAAGAATTATAACATCAACTACCACCACAGCCACCTTAACAGGACCAGCAGTGTGCCCATCAGGGTCCCATGTGTCTGCTGTAGCAACAACCCATCAAATACGACAGCAACAAATTGAAAAGTATAGCACCCCAAAAAAAATTTCAGGAGAATTTAAAAGGAAAATAGACAGTGATCTTCTCGATTTGTTTGTCGATAGTTATCAACCTTTTACATTGGTAGAAGAAAGATCTTTTAAAAAATTTGTTCGTTGGATTCCAGGCTACCAGCTGCCTACTAGAAAAACAATTTCAAACGTCATGATTCCAACTTTATTTAATAAGACTAAAGAAACTCTTAAAACTGAATTAAACCTATTAGAAATAGAAAACATTTGCCTTACCGCAGACTTATGGACGTCGAGGGCTAATGAATCCTATTTGGCTGTTACGGGACATTTTATCACAGACGATTATGAGCTGAAAAGTTGCTTACTCGATTGCAGTAACTTTCAAGAGTCCCATACGAGTGATAATATTCAGGCAGTTTTAATTGAGATGGTAAGGGAATGGAACCTGACTAATAAAATAAATTTCGTCATAACAGATAATGCTGCCAATATACAGAGAGCCATTTCTAACATCGGTTGGAAGCATTATGGATGTTATGGTCATACTTTGAATTTGATTGTGCGAAACGCTATTTCTAATGATGAGATACTGCAGAATTTATTAGAAAAAATTAAAAAAATTGTACGCTTTTTTAAAAGTAGCAGCACTGCCTTGGAAAAACTTTTAAAAGCCCAAACGAATGACCAGCCAAATTGCATCCCAAAGCGCTTAATTCAGGAAGTTCCGACACGCTGGAACTCCACCTTTCAAATGGTTAGGCGATTTGTTGATCTCGAGCAGTACCTCAGATCGACAGTGGCAATATTAAAAAAAGATTTACCAATAATTACAAATGATGAGTGGTTGTTGCTTGCCGAAATAGCAAAGATATTAAAGCCCTTTCATGAAGCAACTGAATCAATGAGCGGTGAAAAATATATGACTGGTAGCTCAGTCATAGTCATGACACGATGTCTGACAACAGCATGCGACAAATTATTAATAGAAGAATTTTGTGGGCTTTCGAAGGAAATCATTTATAAACTAAGATCAGGACTAGTAATGAGGTTCACAAATGTTGAAATAAGTGAAACATTTTCTGTGTGTACATTCCTAGATCCAAGGTACAAACTAGCCGTATTTTCTGACGAAAATGAGGCAAAAAACACCAAAAAACGTGTGCAAGATCTTCTGATGGGGATCATGCTACAGGAGACTCAGGAGTCTGCACAAGATCAGATTCATGCCTCGATTTCCGAAAACAACGAAGCCGATAAATTCTCTCCGTGGGCCATCCTTAATGAAATAGTTGGTCAAAAACAGACCGTTGGAACTCCACTATCAAAAGCCATAAAGGAAATTGACACATACCTAAATGATGATGTCTTACCCGTTTTCAAGGGGACGACTTGGAATTGTCCTCTGGAATGGTGGCGTAAACATAAATTCACATACCCTAATCTAGCGAAACTTTATAAAAGATATGGCAATATTATGGCAACGTCGGTTCCATGCGAAAGAATTTTTAGTAAAACTGGATTGATTATAAATGATCGACGAACTCGGCTCTCATCATCAAAAGTGAAGCAGCTTACCTTTTTAAATGTAAACCTTTGTAAAAAAAGATTTGAATTATAATTTTAGCCATGTAGGATCTGTAAAAAGTTAACTGTGTAAAAATACTTTATAAAAAGTGTAAAATATGTAAATAGAGAAATATATGTAAATATTATCAAATGAACTTCTAAATACGCCTGCAATGTTTTCTCGAGACTTCAGCTAGGCAATACTCACTCACTTTAAGCTAATACACGCGGACGAAGTCGCGATGTGACCTAAAATATATGTATTTAGTATTATGAAATATACTACATCAGAACTCAATCAATCAGACTTTAAAATCATATAATAAAATGATATCAGAAACAGAAAACCAACCGTATGACGTTGACTTGAATCTATATCTACTACGATATTATATCAGCGTATCGTTTCAAATCTCAAATATCATGAATCGAGAAAATCTACTAGCATCCATCAATATATAGATTCAATATCCGATATTGATCCTCGATATATAGATACGATGCCGATACGCGGCAAAACCGATATTACCCACTCCTAGTTATTATACATATAAACCTTCCTCTTCAATCACTCTACCTATTAAAAAAAAACACATCAAAATCCGTTGCGTATTTTTAAAGATTTAAGCATACATAGGGACAGATATATATAGGGACAGAGAAAGCAACTTTGTTTTATACTATGTAGTGATTATATTTAAAAAAAGAACTTTTTCATAGCGTAATGTTGATAAAATCAAGTAGTTTACTAATAAAATAATAATAATAATAACGATATCAGATGACAGTTTGCAGTGTTTGAGTAGGGAATGTGCCATACTCAACAGGTGGAGGGAGCATCGGCGAATCAAGCGAGTCCAGTTCGATGGAGGTGGCGGGCGCGTCAGGGGAGGGGCGGGAGGAAGGCGGCCTGCGCACCAGCAAGTCCGACACCAGCCTCACGGACTCCTTCGTAGTGCTCTCCGCGCCGCCCTCGCCCTCCCCCGCTCACAAGCCGGCCGCCAGACCAGCGCCCGATATCGGTACTGATTCTGGAACTTTTTAAACTATTTCGTATGTTATTCTCTCTGACTCTGTTTGTATTTTGAACTAATATTCTATAATTGTAAGGTGAATGAAATGGATGAAAGACGATTGCATGCAGCAGAGATGCGAATGTTGCTATGGATGTGTGGAGTAACGAGAATGGATAGAATACGGAATGAATATGTTAGAGGAAGTCTCAAAGTGGCACCTGTTACAGAGAGGCTGAGAAGTGCGCGTTTGGGATGGTATGGACATGTGATCAGACGAAATGAAAATGAGGTTGGTAAGAGAATGTTAACTATGAATGTGGAAGGATATAGAGGAAGAGGTAGACCTAAGAAAAAATGGATGGATTGGGTGAAAGACGATATGGGTAAGAGAGGAGTGAACGAAGAAATAGTATATGATAAAAGAGTATGGAAGGAGAAAACATGTTGCGCCGACCCCAGGTGACTGGGAGAAGGGCAGGAGAATGATGATTCTATATCGTTAGACACGAGATCGAAATTTTGCCATTGACCACGGTCTAGGAACGATTGTATCAAGAAATAATGGTAGGCAGCGGCTTGGCTCTGCCCCTGGCATTGCTGACGTCCATGAGCGACGGTGACCACTTACCATCAGGTGGGCCATATGCTTGTCTGCCTAAAAAGGCAATAAAAAAAAAAGAATAGGGGTGTATTGTGCTCATGTCGCTCTGTGATGCAGAAGGCGAGTGCAACGTGAAGTGGGTCCGGCGCGTGGTGCTGCGCGGCAAGCTCACCATGCACACGGCGTACGAGCGCCGCGACAACGTGAGCCCCGCCGCCGTCACCGCCGCCGCCGCGCCGCGCTCCGGCCGCGGGCTCGCCGTGGGGGACGCGCGGGGACGGGTAAACTATACACCATTATTACTGACTTGTAAATTGTATAAATAGAAGGATGTTTCTTGTCCCATTTTTACATTATTTATATGCAGCAGTATATTATATGTATAACAAAAAAAATTATTGCAAACTAGTCAGTCTTTGGAATCTCTGGGTCTGCGGAGAGACTTCGGTTCCCTCTGTATTCTGTACCGTATGTTCCATGGGGAGTGCTCTGAGGAATTGTTCGAAATGATACCGGCATCTCGTTTTTACCATCGCACCGCCCGCCACCGGAGTAGAGTTCATCCATACTACCTGAAGCCACTGCAGTCATCCACAGTGCGTTTCCACAAGTCTTTTTTTGCCACGTACCATCCGGCTATGGAATGAGCTCCCCTCCACAGTGTTTGCCGAGCGCTATGACATGTCCTTCTTCAAACGAGGCTTGTGGAGAGTATTAAGCGGTGGGTAGCGGCTTGGCTCTGTCCCTGGCATTGCCGAGGTCCATGAATGACGGTAACCACTCACCATCAGGTGGGCCGTATGCTCGTCTGCCTACAAGGGCAATACAAAAAAAATCTTAAGGATAGTTACAAAAAAAACTTATAAATTCATATCATAAAGATATCTGAGAAAAAAATTGAATTAAATGGTCATTACACTTTGTATTAATGATTTTGAATTTAAACAATAAAACATAGTACAATAAAAGATGAATTATTGTATTATATTTAACAATTTACTACGATATTCATCACTGATTCGTTTTGCGATAAGTTTCTGCAAAAAGCACTTCCACGCTCAGTGTTTATTATTGTAATTGTAATATTTTAATTGGGCTTTGCAATTTCTATGTTACAAGATAACGTCGAATTCACAGATATTCCGTTGGTCTGCGCCGGACATGTCTTCAGCTTCGGGAGCAAAAGGGGGACCTGCTGATCATTGGGTTAGAGACGACACTGCTCCTTATTGCACGCAATGTCAAGTAAGTGCAGAAACTAAATTATCAGTATAATAATTATCATTCAAATATATAGTTACCCTAGTAAAATGTTTCAAATATCTTATATAATAATTGGCATAACTTTTTGCTGCATACTATTAATTAACCGAGCAATGAAATATATTTTTTTATATATATATAATAATAATATATATAATAAGTAAGCCCCTGTTTCAATTATGAAATAAATTTTATTTATAATAATACAATTTATATATATTAAAAGGTAGGTGTAGGCATTCAAGTTGTGATGTATATGAACTCCAGTAACCACTTAACACGAGATGGGCCGTAACCTCTTTTGCCTATTTAAAGTGTTTTATAAAAATTCACGCAACACCAGGCTCACTAGCCGGACTAAATATTATCTAGTAACTTGCAGCATTTCAAAAGTCAGTACACCAAGAACATATTTATAGTAAATTCCATAGTTAACACTTTGTATAAGCCGCGCCAATAAAGAAACGAATCGAAAATTGTGTCTATGTACCTGCACTGACAGATGGTAGGGTCAACAAATAAAAAGAAAGATAGAAAGAAAAAGTTGTTTATGTAAAAAAATAAAATAAAACAAATGAGAATGAACTTTACTTTACTTTGGTGCCCTGGCAGAGGGGGAGGTGTCTCATCTGGGATGCAACTTGCGTAGACACTTTTTCTGCCAGTCATATTATTTACTACACGTGGCACAAAAAAACGATAACAATAACAACGAAATAACGAACAAATGCAACAAATAACAATAGAATTTGAGAGAAAACAGAGCGCGTCGAGATTGAGAACAAAGTCAGAACTGATATTTTTTTTGCATGCAGTACGCGCCCTGTGCGAGACTAAAGACAGCAATAGTTTAGAGTGAGAGCGCGTGATCGCCGCCGCCATTTTAGATTCGTTTCTTTAATGGCGCGGCTTTAGCAAAAAAAATGTTATTCTCCTACCAGACCGAAAGTTCGTGGAGTACTGAGCCGGGGTCCAAGGGCGAAGCCCTGGCGGGGGGTAAAAAAACAATTTAACTGTTTTTTAATTTTTAAATAAACTACTACTAATTGAATAAGAACTGTCTGATGAACTCATCTTTGTTAAATACTTCACTATTAAATTTTATTGCCTTTTGTTTATTTCACTTTTACACTAAACACAATATTGCAATTTATCCGAGCACAACAATGGCGAAGAATTTTAGGTGCGTGAGAGCAGACGTAGACACTAAGGCGCATGCGCACTTGTCAGTACCCAGGGAGGAAAAGTTAGACTTTCTTCCCTGTATAGCTGGAGGAAAACCGAACTTTCGGCGTAGGTAGGAGAAAAAAAATGTTATTATTGGTCTTAGTACAGTATGATCGTCTATGACAGGTACGTTTCACGGCGCTGGAGCGGCGGCACCACTGTCGCGAGTGCGGCGCCGTGTTCTGCGGGCGGTGCTCGCGGTACGAGGCGCCCGTGCGGCGCCTGCGCGCGCTGCGACCCGTGCGCGTCTGCCAGCGGTGCCATGACAACATACACGGGAAGAAAGAATAACATCACGACACCCGCCTGTCCTACTCCTTTGGTTCGTTCGCTAGAAACGCTTACGTCGAGAGGATTTTGCATAGGCTTTCCACATCCGATGATAATTGACTGTTCGAGTGGTGACCGTCTCGGTGTTAACATGTAAATCGAGTTTCTAGAATGACGTAAAATAACAATGGCGGTCCGTACACGAAGGAACCAATCACGATCTGGTTCAGTACCTAGTTCAAGAACCGCTATTTCAACTAATATTCAATGAATTTGGCAGCGTGCGTATCTGAGTTGCTAAGGTATGGTAACTACATGATATAATTAATAAGTAATTCCGTCAGTCTAGTGTAACGGTTTAGACGACGGGCCTAATGCGTAAAAAAGATTATTGTTAAAGCTTCCTGCGTTTTCTATCTAACATGAATATCTGAAATTATAAAAAAAATTATGAAGCAATGTATACATACATCCTTCATTGTTCGTTCAATGTAGAAAATGATTATCGTGTCTAGTCAATGTTGAAAAATGAGTACGAGTAATTGTCGTCCTCCTTTCACTTTTCTCGTTCATTTTATTTTTTATATTATGTATCGCACACCACACGCCAAAATCTATAAAAAGCATAAATATATATAAAAAGATTAATTTTAATCGACTATTGTTTTAGTCCGTTTACAATTCGTAATTTTGCTAACTTTGGTATGGTGGCATGGATAATTTTAAATAACAATGGAAATCAATAATTGAAACCACAATTGCACAGGCTGCATAATTATGAACAGTTTTTTTACTAGTCCGTCAAATTGCTCATTTTGAACCCAAAACTTGCCTTTATATTAGTAACGTGGGTTTTTTATCGATATTAAAGGAAAATTGGCAATAAATTTGTTTCTCAAAGGTGTGATTCTCAGCTAATTAGATTCTCGTTTATTCTGCCCCTTTTAAAACCGATTGATATTATAATTTATAACAATCGAACCAAAATAAGAGTCGTACATATTTGTATGAAATATTGTCTTAGGCGCGCTTTAGATGTATTGTAATGAAGGTATATTTAATATAATTGTGTTATAGTAAGTCAGTATTATAATGTTTAAGAGAATCAAATACAAATTATGTTATTATATTTGTTTAATACTATCACGATCTCAGTGAATTTTTATAAAATGTTATTAAATTGTATTATTTTTGAAGAATAAATAAAATTGTGATATAATTTTAGTTCAAACGTATTTCTATACCATGAATTATTTTCCTATTAAGTTCGATGAGTGAATTTAATTATGATTGATTGCTAGTCCTACTTTATATTAAGAAATTGTAATGCAAAAAAAAACCTATGCAACTTTTATTGTTCTGTGAATACAGGCCTTTTCGGTTCAATAGATCCTATCAATTCAAAACACCATATTTGCATTTAGAATCAACATTCCCTGAAAGCAATTTTTTACAGTTTGCTGTAATGTTGTTATAGTGGTTTTTTACTCCATATACATTTCACTCCCATTTTACGTTAAACATATAATATTTATTATATCCCTCGATGTGCGGCTTTTTGTTGTTTCTGTAGTAAATTAATCAATAAAAAATAATCGATTATAAAATGTTTCAAAGATTAAAGTCGTAATTTTTTAATACATTATAAAGAAACTTTTATGCAAAATTTTCTATATTTGTAAACATCGCATAGGAACTTGAATATTTATTGATGTAACAAAGTAGAATTTAGAAAGTTGCTTATAATTATTGTTTAATGTGGATATAAATAAGGAAAAGTGGATTATAAAATTATATAATAATATGTAAGTCGAATGTTTCTTAGTCACCCAGCATTAGTGTATAGATGAATTATTTACAGACAATATAATGTTGTTTAGGTAGTTTGTAGGCACTGAAATTTTATGCCGTTGACTAATGTATTCTTGATATGTACCTATAACAATAAATATATTGGTGCAGATAAATTATTGTATCATTTTTAAACATTAAAATAAAACATAAAAAAATTTCAACTAAACATTATTTATTAATCTTTATATTTATTTGAACTCTCTTTATCTAAAATATCTACAGAATATGTGTTGATATTTACATACACTTGACAAAGATAGGACCACTGTATAATTTACAAACAACATCCAACAAATAATTTCCGAACAACTTTGCATTTTAAGTACAATTTCTCTAATAGTAAACGCTTCAATAAGCACATAAAAATATATATTAAGAGACATTTAATTTAAATATTAATAAATGTAGTACATCTTCACTTCGTATTAACAATTCACAAATCGGTGCAGATAATTTTGGTGCGTTTTATTAGTAAATTTCTCTAAGATGCTAAGGTATCACATTATTTTAATGCAATTGAAAACATTAAATATTTTTAGGTTGATCGAATGAAAAAAGATGCTATATATATATAACATTTAGTAACGAATAAACTGGTAATTGCGCATTAGAATCTCTAAAATTTTGCAAGCATACTAATATTAAGTACTACGTTTTTTTAAAGATTAAGTAATTATTTAATTCGTAAGTACAAGTGCGATGCAGCAAGGCTAGCTAGTGATATGCGCGATTAATTTACTTATTACTACACAACACATTGTAAAAAATCAATCTGGAATGTACAGAAAATTTTACGATGTCAATAAAATTGTATTTTTATTTTAAACCGAAAAGCAGAATTATTTATTTTGAATGTGTTTCCCAAGACTACAATGATTATAGATTATTATTTGTTTTAAATCAAGTGACAGAAATTCCGTTATTGCTGTGTAGAAGTAAAACTTGAAAAGATCACAATTCTGCTCACATTTTTCATTCAATATTTTTTTTTTATATTGAATTAGGATTTTTTTACTAGTGCAACAAAACTTTATATTAAAAGTACCTAAATTAAATCAATGTAAAATAATAACAGAAACGTACAATAAAAAAATAAAACGAGCAAAACTGAACAAATGATAATGACGACCCGATCACCTATTTTCAGTAAAAAAGTATAAAAACAGATCCTCTAAGGGCAAAGTCATAATCTAAAAATGTACATTTATATAATATATACATTTACAAAATAGAAAATATATCAAAAATCCTAAATCTTGTACATTATTATGTCGTAGGGATACTGAATTCGTTTGTTATGCACTGTATTCACAATGCTCTAGGCTCAACTAATACTGAACGGACGAAATTAACTAAGTATAAAATTACGATAGTAAGTTACGTATTGGTAAACAGTAAAAAGTGAAGTGTGCAGTAAAAAAGCTGTGCTTGAGTTTGTATATTTATTCAATAAACTACAGTACGTGCAATAAATATACATGTTTTCCATAGTCGAGTTTTTTTTTTGACGATTACTTTGTGTTTTCATGGAATACTTAATACGCAGTTATGCGTTGTCATTAAAACAAGAATTTAAAATTTAATAAATTCGTCATACAGCATACGCGCCCCACGTAAAGCGACACAAGCAGTCATGGCTCGCGCAGGTCAGTTTAAAAACATTATGTATTATATACGTTAGGAATTTTGACCTGCTTAAAGTTCGTTCTGTGTCCAACTGGACCTCACTCAACGCATCAATAAAAGCAGGATTTTCTAGTGGCTTACACCAGCAATAATCACTTAAGACATTAACAACGTAAATATATTGTATAGAGGATGCCAGCCCGGAAACATAGTTTCAGGTTGCGTAAAAATTACGTGCACAAACACCGCTTTAGCTACGAGCAAAGATTAATAAATTCTACGTTGCAAATTTTAGGATACTTTTAGTTTATATCGAACGACATTAGACACCTTTTTTAACTCGCCAGACAAGTTTAATATTTGCATATCACAACATTACAATGCCACGTCAACGTGTTTTACGCCAAGTACATATGTTGGCAAATCGTCAATGTCAGCTCGAACTCGGCGAGGCCCAAGCCAATAGGACGCTTATTTTTATATATCAATAAATAGAATACTTCCTAAACACCAAAATATATTGAAATATGTATAGATAGCGGATAAGTACGTGAAAGCTATCAATAAACCTTACATTACTTTCTATATTTTGACATTGAATATAGTTTATAAATTTCTTTCTAATTTAGTAGTAATATGTAATTAAGCATGTTTGTGACGGCTCAAAATCCAATTCTCATGTTTTTGTTTTTTATTTATTTATATTTATAAATTTATATGAATATATATATATTATAAAGAAATCAGAAATAAAGAATAAAGTCTATAGACTTCATTTACTTTAATTATCGTTTGAGTCAAAATAATTCGTTGAATTGGAGGCAAAAAGTATTATTACTAACCATTCAATGCTGTACATCACGTAGAAAAATAAGTAGCGTTTTTCTTGTATTATCTCAATTAACTCAAATAAGTACATTATATTTTTAGAAATTATGTATTTTAATACATAAAAAAATGTATACAACAACCGTTTCCAAGCCTTTGTAAGCTTTTTCAAATTGGTGTCATTTATCTTCGAGATACAACTATAATAGAAGTAATGTTGTAATGCTCGAACACTTCTCATACTTAATAATTTTTTGTAGCTAAACTTCAAACTTTGCGTAACGTCAAACTTTCTGTGCAATTATCAGTAATTTAAAAATATTTCAAAGAGTTATAGACGTTGTACATCAAGCTAACATAACATTTAGGTTTCGGGGAATCAACGATATAAACACCACAGAGTCATCATTTAATCGCGATTTTGGTTAACGAGTTGATAGAAAGAGATAAATTATTTCCTCTGAAACAAAGACAATTTGTTTGTGTATTTGACTACTTTACGAACTACAAACTAATTCTCATAAAATTTCAATAGGTTAAGTAGAAATACATCGATGACGTAACGTCCTTTTTCAACATACAAACAACTTTATTAGTCTGTTCAGTTCAAGTAATGACATCAAAAGATCTAGGAATTTTGGGTAACATGACCAAATTAGTAATTTAGTTTAATTTGAAAAATAAAATACAGAAATATTACAATGTAAAATACTTTTTAAAGAGACAGTTTGGAAATTATTTTAAAAAGAATCGTAAATTTTAAATAGTCAAATACCCTATTCGTATCGATAATCCAAGCAAGGCCGATCGATTCGGTACCTAGGTCGATTGATTAGATGGCAGTGGCGTCACTGAGCGGCGCCAAGAAGGGGTTGGTGATGGGCGCGGGGTGGGGGGCGGGGTGCGAGGCGGCGCGGGTGGACAGCGGGGGGGCGCGTGCCACTCGGCCCAGCCACGCGTCCGGAGAGGGCAACGACCCCGCGCCCGGCACCGGCTCCTCCGTCAGCGCGCGCAGCCCCACCGCCAGCTCCTCGCACATCGCAGACACCGCGTCGCCGCTCACGCTCTCCTGCACAACAACAAAACAACAAACTTAATTTTTTTCTAAGGGGTTTTATTACCTAGTAACTAAGACCTTTGAGTCATGTCTTATTTCAATTTAAGTATATTTTTATTTTTATGAAAAATGACAGTATGGAGTGAAATGAAATGAAGATGAGAAATTTGAGACATTAATCAACTGATGATGACTGATAAAATGAAACGAAATAAGATGCGATGATATGGGATGAAATATGATCTCAGTAAAATGGTGGTCATTTACTGAATTTTTTTCAGTGGACTTTTTGGAGGATC